CTTACCAGGCCACAGAAGAGGACAATGCAGCCACTTTTGATGAGAACTGATAGACTAAGAACAGAAAGGAGAGGAGAACCTCCCCTATTAGTGGACTTGGGGAGGGGCATGCATGCAGAAATGGGAGGGAGGGTGGGATCGGGGGGGGGGAGGAAGGAGGGGCTTATGGGGGGATACAAAATGAATAAAGTATAATTAATAAAAAATAAAAAAATCAAAAAAGAAAAAAAAGAAAAACAAAAGCAAGCAAACAAACGAACCAAAAAAACCTTCCAGTCTCTGAAGAGAGAAATTGAAGAAGATATCAGAAGATGGAAAGAGCTCCCATGCTCATGGATCGGTAGGATTAACATAATGAAAATGACCATCCTACCAAAAGCAATCCACAGATCCAATGCAGTTCCCATCAAAATACCAACACAATTCTTTACAGAACTTGAAAGAATAATTCTCAATTTCATATAGAAAAATAAAACAAAACACCCCCCCCCCCAAATTGTTAAAACAATCCTGTACAATAACAGATCCTCTGGAGGTATTTCCATCCCTGATCTTAAACTGTACTATAGAGCCACAGTATAAAAACTGCATGGTACTGGCAGAGAAATAGTCTGGAGGATCAATGGAATCGAATAGGAGACCCAGAAATAAACCCACACATCTACAGATACTTGAATTTTTGACCAAGAGGCCAAAATAATACAATGGAAAAAAGATAGCATCTTCAACAAATAATGCTGGTCTAAATGGATGTAGAAAAATGCAAATAGATCCATGTTTATCACCCTGCACAAAACTACAGTCCAAGTGGATCAAAGACCTTAACATAAAACCAGACACACTAAACCTGTTAGAAGAAAAAGTGGGGAAGAGCCTTGAACTCATTGGCACAGGAGACAACTTCCTGAACAGAACACCAACAGCACTGGCTCTAAGATCAACAATCAATAAATGGGACCTCATGAAACTGAAAAGCTTCTCTAGAGCAAAGGACACTGCCATTAGAACAAAACGACAGTCTACAGATTGGGGAAGGATCTTCAACAACCCTATATCCGACAGAGGGCTAATATCCACAATATATAAAGAGCTCAAGAAGTTAAACATCTACAAGCCAAGTGATCCAATTAAAAAATGGGGTTCAGAGCTAAACAGAATTCTCAATAGAGAAATATCGAATGGTAGAGAAACACTTAAAGAAATGTTCAGCGTCCTTAGTCATCAGGGTGATGCAAATCAAAACGACTCTGAGATTTTACCTTACACCCATTAGAATGGCTAAGATCAAAAACAAGTGACAGCACATGATGGAGCGGATGTGGAGAAAGAGGAACCCTCCTCCATTGCTGGTGGGAATGCAAACTTGTACAATCACTTTGCAAATCAATCTGACACTTTCTCAGAAAATTATGATAGTGCTTCCTCAAGATCCAGCTATACCACTCCTGGACATATAACTGAAAGATGCTAAAGTATACAACAAGGACATTTGCTCAACCATGTTTATAGCAGCTTTATTCATAATAGCCAGAATATGGAAACAACCTAGATGTCCCTCAACAGAGGAATGGATACAGAAATTGTGGTACATTTATACAATGGAATACTACTCAGCTATTAAAAACAAGGAAATCATGAAATTTGCAGGCAAATGGTGGGAACTAGAAAAGATCATCTTGAGTGAGGTAACCCAGAACCAGAAAGACATACATGATATATACTCGCTCATAAGTGGTTATTAGAAATATTATATAGGATAAACATACTAACATCTATAGTCCTAAAGAAGCTAAACAACAAGGAAGACCCTAGGAAAGATACTCAATACTCATTCAGAAGGGCAAATGCAATAGACATCGGAAGCAGGAGAAGACAGGGAACAGGACAGGAGCCTACTACAGAGGGCCTCTGAAAGACTCTATTGATCGAGATATCAAATTAGAGGCTGAGACTCAGTCAAGCTTTGGGCAGAGTGCATGGAATTTTATAAAAGATAGGGGAGATAGACCTGGAGGGGACAGGAGCTCCAAAAGGAGACTAACAGAGCCAAAGAAACAAAAGAAAACAAAGGACTGGTCCCTGGGTCCCTGCAGATACTGATACTCCAACCAAGGACCATGCATGGAGAGGACCTAAAACCCCTGCTCAGATGTAGCCCACAGACTGAGTCTCCAAATGGGTTCCTAAATAAGGGGAGCAGGGGCTTTCTCTGGCATGAACTCAGTGGCAGGCTCTTTGATCACCTCCCTTTGGGGAGGGTGCAGCCTTACCAGGCCACAGAGGAAGATGATGCAGCAAGCCTTGATGAGACCTGATAGACTAAGATCAGATAGAAAGGGAGGAGGTCTTCTCCTATCAGGTGACTCGGGAATGGGCATAGGGGAAGAAGAGAGAGGGAAGGAGGGAAGAGAGGAGGGAAGGGGCCACAGCTGGGATATGAAGTAAATAAATTGTAATAAATAATAACTTAAAAATTAAAGAAATTAGAAGCTATCATTAACTTACAAGAGAAAGTATGCAATATTTGTCTTTTGGAATCTGGATTACCTCACTCTGGGTGATTGTTTTTAGTTACACCTATTTACCTTCAATTTTCAAAATGTCATAGTAATTAACAGCTGAATAGTATCAATTGTGTAAATGTACTGTGTTTTTGCTATACATCTGTTAATGGACATCTAGGCTGTTTTTATTTCTCGCTATTATGAATAAAGCAGAAGAGAACATGCATGAACAAGTATCTCTATAGTAAAATGTAAAGTCCTTTGAGTATATGCCCAAGAGTTATAAAGCTGGATTTTGAGGTAGGTGGATTTTAAACTTTTCTTTTGAACATGGACACTGATTTGTACTGGTAATACCAGTTTGCACTCCCACCAGCAGTGAATAGTTGTTTTCTGTTTGCAACGTGCTCATCAACATGTGATGTTGTTTGTTTTATTGATTTTAGCTATTTTTGACTAGGTGAAATTTCAAAGTAGTTTTAATTTGCATTTTCTGATGGTTAAAGATGGCTAACATTTTGTTTGTTTGTTTGTTTGGGACAGGGTTTCTCTGTATAACTTTGTCTGTTCTAGATTCTTTGTAGACAGGTTGGTCTAGAACTCACAGAAATCCACCTAACTCTGCCTCCAAGTGCTGGGATTAAAGGCCTGGATGGGCTAACATTTTTTAGGTGTTTTTTTTTTTTTTTTTTTTTTTTTTTCAGCGATTTGTGTAATCTTTTACGTATTCTGTTAAGTTATTTTAAAGTCCTTATCTGCCTCAGGGCGTGGCTGCCATACCCTGCCCTCTACCTAAGGGCTATCACTGGTAGACGACAAGTATTAAATGTTCAGGGCTCAGAGGCATGGAGATTAGGAGCCCTGGCTGTTCTTCCAGAGGTCCTGATTCAATTCCCAGCAACGACATGGTGGCTCATAACCATCTATAAGATCTGGTGCCCTCTTATGGCCTGCTGGCATACATGCAGGCAGAATGAATGAATGAATGAATGAATGAATGAATGAATGAATGAATGAGGCAGCTTATGTCAAGTGAAACAAACCAGACATAAATCTCATATAGTCTCGTGTGCATAATTTATGTGAGTGCATATGTAGTGATCAAAGCAGAAGGAGATGACTAATTGAGTGAAGGAAAGGAACCAATGTGAGGAAAGAACAGGAAAGAGGGCCCATCAGAGTGACAGATAAATATGTATAGAAATCTCAGAGTGAAACCACTTATTTGGTATGCTAACTGAAAAAAATATCCGTAAGAATTTATTCATCCCCCATAATCTTCCTGGATTTTACACTGAAGTTCAAATCACAACATTCTGTCCTCAAACATAGCTGCAAAGTTTGCACACCTTAACCTGTTTGATTTTTGGTAAGGACTTCCTGAAACTGTTGTATAAACAAATAGCAAATATAGAAACAAGATAAGTTATACTGAGACTTAGTTACAGTAGTTACCAAAAGTTACTATGGGGACACCTGTAAACTCCATTCTTCATTGAGACTGAATATTTACATAAATCTATATGTTCTACAATAGAGCCAATTTTCTGCTTGTGTGTTTTTCTGCAATTCGAAAATCCTGGACTTCTTCCATGGTAAGGCAGTTAATTTAATAGCAACAACAGAAACAAAAATCAACTTGTCTTCTGTCCCCTTGAGTGAAAGATTATGTGACTGTTAATCTTCAGTCTGTCCTAGTTAAACAACTGCCTCTTCTGGCAACCTTCATCCAGCTCTTCTGGTAGACAGCCAAGACAGTTTCCATGGTGACTATGTTGTTTCTACTGGACTGCCATCACCCTTCAGAGGAGATTCAGAGGAGAAACTCAGGTCTGTCTGCCCGGCAAACGATCAGACAGGTGCCAGCTCTCTACATTTCTCTTCCTTTCCCTCTAAGATCTATGATTTGGGTGTCCGCAGAAAATCTCCAAATCCTGGGGGTATTTTGGGCAAGTGTAGCTTATACCACAGTTAAATTGTTGAGTGTTTATGTTTTACATTTGCTTTGCATTAAGTGTGACTTTTTTTCGTCAATCATAATATCACTTTCTAGGATGTTTGCCATACTGATTCAATAATGTTTTTGGAAAATATTAATGATATTAAATACTTGCTTGGGGGAGGGGCAATCTCTCTTTTGTTATAGTTTGCTTCTAGGAGAAAACAACAAACCCGGGATTTTAGAGTTGCAAGACTATTCAGAGCACACCTAATTCAGTTCCTTAACTTGAGATCCTAAGGGAAAAATATCTGGCTTCATTTCTTCACAGCAAGTGGCTGGTAGAACTGTGTTTAGAATCCTGGCCCACCCATCTCAACTGTCATTCTTTACCCACGACTGTACTTGGTAACTAAATCTGAAAAGGTATGGAATTTTATATATGGTACTGATGTGTAAGATACACTGAATATATTGAGGCTTGTTTTTATATGATAATGGCTGTATGAACTTTTTCTTTTCAGAGTACAGAGTGTTTTAATTCTTAGGAGACCAAGATGTCAAAACCTAACAAAAATGTCATTACAGCAGAAAAGGAGGCTTTGAATTTGAAATTGCCCCCTATTGTCTATCCTCCAAAAGACCTAGGTGTTGACACACCAAAACAAAGTGCACTGCTAAATTATAGACGGTCTAAGGAGCAGCAGAAGAAAATCAATCAATTAGTGTAAGTAGCATAGTAGTAAATAATATTGCTTGGAATTAATGATTAGTGTTATAGACTCACAAAAATTTTTAAAACTGTATAGGTTGTCCATGGGTAAAATAAGGATTAAAGTTCAAATCAATTAGAAAAGCAATTGAGAATTAATCACAATGATAGCCAATTTTGTAGAGTGTCTGCTTGTTTAGATACTGTCCCTACCACTTCGCCTATACTTCTCATAGCACCTTGATGAGGTGGACACCATTGTTAAATTCTTTTTTGTAATTTTATTCTAAAATATTTACTTTAAATGTATATATGTGTGTGCCTAAGTGTGTGTGTGCACAACATGTGTACGCAAGAGCCCAGGGAGGTCAGAAGAGAGGACTAGAGTTGTGAGCCGCCATGTGGGTGCTGGGAGTCAGATCTGGGTCCTAAGCCATAGATCCAGCCCCAAGCTATATGTGTTGAAGTGAGTGAAATAAGAAACAGAGAAGTAAGAGAACAGAGAACACCCGGAGTTCGGGACCCAAGTGGCCTGGCTCTGCAGTTCAAGAATCTTGTTACTGTGTCTGCTATTATGTTACAACTGTACTGATTTTTGAGAAAGAATCAGGAATATCCCTTCGTGGTCAACTTCTTTTATAAGTGGTTTTGCAACTGACTTAAGTTTTATTGCCACATTATGAATGGTCATATTTAAAATAATCATTTAAATTTTGGCAGTTATACTTTATGGTTAACAGGTCTGGAATCCCATAACTTTATTAGGTTTATATTTTTATTATCCCATCATTCACTTACTCATATTTAAAGCTAAATTTATGAGGAATATTAAATAATATTACTATATATGCTATAGAGAGCTTTTGCCCTCTTCATTCTTTAAAAAAAAATTAATTTAATTTGTGCGTGCATTCATGTGTATATTTGTGTATGTGCGTTCGTGTGTGTGTGTGTGTGTGTATGAAATGTACAGGTAAATGTCCTTAGAGAGTATAAGAGGACATCACATGTACCATGGCAGTTCTGAACTTCCCAGCAAGAGAGCTGGGAACCAAAGCAGCAGCTAGAGCTCTGAACCACTGAGCCATCTCTCTAGCCTCTTACCTGATTCATTCCAGGGATTCTTAATATTTCAGAAGACTTAGAAGAGAGTTCTCAAAAAGTTACTCAACAGCTTTTTATCATTTCTCATTGTCATGACCTACTCACACTTCAATGACTATACTATATTTTCCTCAGCTTAAATACAAGCTTTGCAATTAAGGTTTAGTTTATGGGTTACCATGTCTAGACAGCGTTTGAATCCTTTCCACATTGCTAAAATCCTTTCTACAGATTTATATCATTTTATGTGGGGATATTAATTACTTGCTCTTGTACACTGTGGCTGTTACCAGGAAGATAATAGAAAACAATAGGAAAAGACTGTCTTTAACCACTTTGTTTGCCAGCAGGATAAGACAGTAAACATATATGAAAGAACAAGTTCTATAACCCTTTAGAGCAGTGGTTCTCAAGCTGTGGGTCTCAATCCCCTTAAGGATTGAATGACTCTTACAAGGGTTGCCTAAGACCATCAAAATACACAGATATTTACATTACAATTCATAACAGGAACAAAATTACAGTTATGAAGTTGCAACACAATAATTTTATGGTTGTTGGTCACTACGCTACAAGGAACTTTATTAAAGGGTCACAGAATTAGGAAGGTTGACAAACATTGCTTTAGATGATGGGTAGTTTTGTTTGTTTTTGTTTTTGTTTTGAGACAAGGTTTCTTTGTGTAGCCTTGGCTGTCCTGGAACTCAGAGATCTTCTTGCCTCTGCTCCAGTGCTGGGATTAAAGACATGTGCCACCTCCACCAGGCCAGATGATGGGTACTTTGGAGAAACAAGTACCCAAGTACACACACCTGTAGTCTCCAGCACCGAGAAAGCTGAGGTCGGAGGATTGTGAGTTCAAGGCCAGCCTGGGTTGACATAGTGGGACCCTGTATGAATGAAAAATAAATAATAAGATAATATACTAGAGAATCTCCAGGAACACTGCAGGAAAGGCTTGTGGAGACAAAATTTAAGTAGAGAACAAAAGAATGGGAAGAAACCTTCCACTTAGACAAACAGGAGAACATCAGTCTAGGGGCAGGGATAGCAACGACAGAAGTCATGAAATATGAATTGAAAACAGCCAGTACCATGAAGGCATTGCGAGCCTGGGGAAGACCGGTAGAAGGTGGAGGAGCTTGGAGCAGATCGTGCAGGGTTTTATAGGCCATAATAAGGAATTTAAGATGTATTTTAGAACAGTGGATGCCATTAAATGTTCTAAGTAAGCCGGGTGTGGGGGTGCATGGCAGGAAGATCTCTGTGACTTCAAGATCAGCATGTCTATAGATCAAGTTCCAGATCAGACAGGGCTATAAGAAGAAAAGGAGGAAGGAAGGAAGGAAGGAAGAAAGGAAGGAAGGAAGGAAGGAAGGAAGGGAGGGAGGGAGGAAGGGAGGAAGGGAGGAAGGGAGGGAGGGAGAAAAGAAGGGAGGGAGAAAGGAAGGAAGGGAGGAAGGCAGGGAGGAAGGAAGGAAGGGAGGAAGAAAGAAATATTCTAAACAGGAACATGACAGAAAACTATCAGATATTTTAATAAGCAGCAAATGAAAGTGGTACTACTTGCAGAACTGTAAGGATGACAAGACAGTTTTTGTTTTGTTTTGTTTTGAAGACAGGATCTTACAGATCTGTACCACTTTCATTTGCTGCTTGAGAAAATATACTACCTCAAAGTTTCCCAACCATAGCTCTATATTAATAAGAGTAGAATGTCCATGTATTTCTTTGTAAAAACAAAACAAAACAAAACAAAACAAAAAGACTGGAGTTAAATGTGTTACATTGATTTGCCTCAACTGCTGTCATGCCACCAGCACTGTGATGGCCTCCTAAGCGTTGCTGGTGCTCATTTGAGGGCTCACATGTCCCCAGTTGGTTTTCCTTGTCTTCTCAGTCTCAATGGCTTGTCAGATAAAAGAAAGAGGGAGGCTTTGTGAAGTCTTCAAGAGGTGTTTTTAAATGCAGAGAAGAAGGAAAGCTTTCTCTGATATGTTGGCATTTGAACAGAGGGTGGCTTACTCTATATCAGAATTCATTTTAAGCTATTGATAAGTTATAACTGCAAATGATTTCATTTTTAGTATTACTCCCTTATGATATTCTTGAATGATTTAAAATTTAAGATATCATTGGTAATAGCCACTAAGATTTGTTTCTCATAAAAAGTTCAGTCAGAGGCAGACATGATGACTCATGCCTGTCATTTCAACACTCTGGAAGGCTGGGACAGTAGAATTGCTGTGAATTGAAGACCAGCCTCGTCATAGTAAATTCAAGGTCAGCCTAGGTGAGATTGTCTCTCAGTGTTCTCTCCTTTAAAAAGAAAAGAAAAGAAAAGGTAGTCAGATAAAAGTCCCTTGAAAATTTCTTTCTTTAGTATTAGTATAGACATCTAAAATGTTATATTAGTAATTACTGTTCATTTTATCATACATTTTTTTTCTAACTATAAATTTCAGAATTGCTGGAGCTAAAAAAAATCTAGACAAAGTCCTGGACAAAAGAATGCCTTCATTGCCAGAGCCTGACTTCCCTCCGACTGTGAGTTCTTTTTATTTATTTATTTATTTTTATCTTGAGACAGGGTCTCTCTGTGTAGCCTTGGCTGTCTTGGATTCGATTTGTAGACTGGCTGGCCTCGAGGTCACAGAGATTCACCTGCCTCTGCCCCGTGGAGTGCTGGGATAACCAGCGTGTGCCACTGCATTTGGCATGAGTTCTAACTTTATTTCTTATGTGAATCTCAATAGAACCCCCCCCCCCTTTTTTTTTTTTTTTCCCGGTTTCTGGTTTTTAGAAACAGAGTTTTTCTGTGTAGCCCTGGCCGTCCTGGAACTCACTCCCTAAACCAAGGTAACCTCGAACTCAGAGCTCCGCCTGCTGCTGCCTGCGGAGAGCTGGGATCAAAGGCGTGCACCACCACTGCCGTGTTTAGAACTCATTTTAAAACAACGGTATGTTTAAAGTTTTATTTGATTAAAATGTTTTAAACTTCTTTCTTGTTTGTTGTTTTTTTGACAGATGACCAGTGATACTAAAAAAAAAGGAGTGAGTTGGATTTTCTTGTCTTGAAAATGTTCAAAATGATTACTACAACATATTTTTCTAAGACTACCTACCACACCTCCTCTTAGGAAAGAAGTCTAAACAGATTTATATTTCTCTAACCAAAGGAGCAAGCATGTTGTGGACAACGAATGAGGTTTTCAAGAGTTGTGTTTGGAGAAATGGCTCAGAGGTTAAGAGCACTGGCTGTTCTTCAAAGGTCCTGAGTTCAGTTCCCATACAGTGGCTCATAACCATCTATAATGAGACCTGGTGCCCTCTGCTGGTGTGCAGGCAGGCACACATGCAGAATACGGCATAAATCGAAAATAAATAATACAAAAAAATTCTTAAAAAAAGTTGAATTTGTGTTTGCCATCTACTATTTGAGGGTTATCTGTATAAATATTTTAGCTCTTATTCCAAACTATTGAAAAATAATCAAAATGGCAGTTATATAAGAAATGTATCTCTTGCAAAATTAGTATAATAATTAATTATCCTAATATTGATAAAATGTTTATTTTTACTTAACAAATACTTGTTGAGAGTCACTGTGCCAGCTGTGTGCTGGGTGGTAGAGATGCTTTTAAGAAACACTGCATGAGTAACAACACGGAGCTGTGGAATGAGTGGTTAAAACATGACAACATGCAAAACTTATAAATAGTAAAGGACCTGGAAATTTTTGGAGCTGCTTACATATAAAAGGAAATCATGAAGCATGTTTGCAGATAGGACTGTAAGTTTTCCAAAAATTAATTCTAAAAAAAAAAATCATTAAAATTTTTGGGGAATAGAGGACTGAAATTATAACCTTCTTATGAACTGAAAATACTATGGAAGAACCTCTTTTTACTAGTCAAGATTTTTGCTTATTTTACCTAATTAAACACATCACATTTGTTTATTTATAGTGATGTGTGTGAATTTTTTTTTTTTATTATTCTGAAAGAATATTGTCTTAGAAAATAGAATTTCGGTGCTAGGCTGAAGTGCTGTATCATTCTGACCACTTGGCTTCTTCTTGTAACGCTCCCAAGTTAAACTACATTTACATGAAGCAGTGCGTGGAGAGCAGCCCTATAGTGCCCATTCAGCCAGAGTGGCTGGACCACATGTTAACGCTGATACCCGAGCATTTAAAGGAAGGGGAAAAGAGAGGAGAACTGCTTGGAAGTCTCGTAAATGAGGTGTCAAATGACTTTGAAAAAAGCATGAAAAGATATTTAGGTAAGTAGCATTTGACGCACACCAAAATTCTTTACCTCTGCCCTGTGAGTGAATCAAAAGTGGAAAGAAGCTGGGTGTTTGGCACTCTTCTGTAATACCAGCGCTTGAGGGGTGGAAGCGGGACAGGTAAGAGTTCAAGGTCACTCTCAGTTGCGTGGTGAATTCGAGACCAAAATGGGCTACACAAGATCTTGTCTCCCTCAAAAAGCAAAACGAGCCTGGCGCGGGTGGTGGCGCGCGCCTTTAATCCAATCCCAGCCCTGGAGGCAGAGACAGGCAGAGCTCTGAGTTTCAGGATAGCCACAGCCACAAAGAGAAATCCTGTCTAGAAAAACAGAAACAAACAAGACAGGACAGTAGAAGTAAAATGAATATTTGAACATTATATATTTAAAATGCATGTTTTTCCAATATGATTTCTACCCACCATTTTTTTTTTGTTGTTGTTGGTTTTCTTTGTTGTTTTTTTGTTTGACTTTTTTTGGAGCCTATAATTCAAAGACTTTGTAATTTAAGGGTGTCTTTTGTATTTATTAACTAATATTTTTTATTTTATTTCTAATTTTATCACTATGGTTTTAGCTATCCTATTTTCATAATTGTCAGAAAATATTACTATAATCTTTGTAGTTCTTATTTGAATATTGCTGGTTTTGCTTTTGAGGCAGTGTCACTTCACAACCTAGTCCAGCTTGGACACTTACCATGCATTGTACACTGGCCTCAAGCTCATGGCAGTTGACCTGCTTCAGTCTCTTGAGGGCTGGGTTCACAGATATGAGCCCCCATGCCAGGCTCTGTTTTGTTCTTCTTTAAGTGACAAAAGTGTGTGTGTGTGTGTGTGTGTGTGTGCGCATATATATTTATCATATACAATATGCTTCAAAATATCTATGCATTGTGTAATGTCTGAGGTGAACCAGTTAACATGTATCACTTGTGCATGTGCTGATAATGCCTAAAAGTAGTTTAAGTCTCTGTAAACAATGTGTTATTTTTACTATCTTCACAATATTGTACAATATTTCTCATCAACTTATTCCTCCTAGCTAGCTGAAATTTTCTAACCTTTCACCAACATCTGAATTTACTTCCAAAGGAAGGCCAAAATTCTAAGAGCTTGATTACATGGAAGAAAGGGAGTTTTTTTTTTTTTTTTTTTCTTGTATTTAAAATCTAGTTTAGCTAGAGAACAGATCTTGCAAGGATTTTCAGGAAATATTAACACATATGTATATTTTAGTACAGAGCGTTCTTGTGAAGCCTTCAGTTAACTGGCTTGAAGATGAAGGGGGCCCTTTGCCCGAATCTCCTGAGTGAGTAAACTGTTTTTTAAAACAGTATATAATTTAGATTCGTATACAATTTTAAAATGAACTGATCTTATATTCAAGTCTACGATCATGAAGCTCAAAGATATTTTCTTTTAAAAAGTCTCCAGCTGGGTGTTGTGGTTGCATGTCTGGAATCCAGGCACTCGGGGAGGCAGAGGCAGGGAGATCTTTGTGAGTTTGAGGCCAGCCTGGTCTACAAAGCGAGTCTAGGACAGCAAGGTCAACACAGAGAAACCCTGTCTCGAAAACACCAAAAACCCAAAAAACCAAAACCAACCAATCAAACAAACAAACAAACACAAAAACCCATCCCTCCCAAAAAAAAACAAATCTCCAAAGATATTCTCCATCTTAATCATCTAGTTCTACTTACATTAGTAGAAGGACCTATGTGAACAGTACTTCAGTGTAACCTGATGGATGTTGTAAGGTTTCTTACACCTGTAATCCTACAACTCAGGATATGGAGGCAAGAGAATCAGAGGTTCAAAACCAGCATTAGCTACATAGTGAGTCTGAGGTTATCCTATGCTACCTGAAACTTGATCTAATAATAATAAACAAAAAAAAACCCCAAATCTCAACTTAGTCATGAGTAATCTTTGACATCTGCCAGAAATATTTTTCCATAAACCTAACACTGTTCTTACTTCTATATTTTGGATAGTTGAACCAGAGCAAAGTAGAAGTTACAGGACAGTCAGGCTAGTACCACAAGTCTGTTTCAGCTACAAATTATCTCTCTCCTCTGAAGATAATGTGTCATTTCAGATTTGAGTGTGCATACTCAAGACTTCCATTCCTGATCACAATTTGTTACTACAAATCCCCAGGGTTTTTCATTTTAACATTAGTTTCTCAAAACTTGGAGTGTGTTGTTTCAGTCATGTTTAATGTGGTATTTTGCTTTTCCAGAGGACTAGATTACTCCAATCCTTGGCATTCTAGCTTTGTGCAGGCAAGAAGTCAAATATTATCTAATTTGCACATTGTTCACCCAACTATGAAAATATTACTGGAGCTTGGTTATACAACATTTGCTGACATGATTTTGCTGGAATTAACAGGAATTAGGTAAAATTTTATACGTATTAATCAAAATTTAAAAATTGAATGACTTCTTATTTGACATATTTTATTATATATTTTTAAGCCTGATTTATAAATCTCAAAAACATTTATATTTTAGAACTTTAAAATTTTATTTTATCTGGGTATTTCAACAATCGTATATCAAGACCAACCTGTCATTTGTTTGAATTATTTTCTTTTGTTTGTCAATAGAGCCAAAGGCCCAATTGATTGTGAAGCACTGAGAAATGATCTATCGATTCAAGCTAAAAATGCTGAAAAGAAGATCATGAATACTTGGTATCCAAAAGTTATAAATCTATTTACTAAAAAGGAGGCACTGGAAGGCCTTAAGCCTGAGAAGCTGGATTCCTTTTATAACTGCGTTTCCGTACTTATGTCCAATCAGGTATGCGTGGTACATGTGCATCTTGAACGAGAACTCCTGAAATTCAGTGCTGTGAATGAAACCCTTGTCGGCACAGTGCTAAGCCATTTTTTAAGACATAAACTAAGGAAGGCCAGGGAAATGGCTCAGCAGATAGAAGAGCTGAGTACACAACCACCCAGGGCCTATTCCTAGGACCGTAAAAAAGTGAATGCAGTGGCACGCATCTGTAACCCTGCAGCAAGATGAGCAGGGGTGAGTGTCTCAGAAGTTGACGCAGTCCGAGCAGCAACAGAAACGAGAGGCCCCGCCTTAGCAAGGTGGAAGACAAGAACAGACTCCCCCCAAAAGTTGTCCTCTGACCGTCACACTAGTACCATATCACATACATGTACATGTTATGAACATGCTTGTATTCATATACATATTACACTCATAAATGGAAACAATAAAATATTATAATTTTATTTAAATAAATGTATAAAAATATGTATTTTCTGAAGAAACCTAAAGTGAGAAGGAAACCGGTAATATAGCTCAGTGATAGTGTTCATCTGTCATGCATGAGGATTCTGTTTCTTGTACCACTAAATACATACATAATGAAATAAAAATAAAGCAAGAGGGAAGTATGGAAGGTTGTATCAATAAGTATCACCTGACTCATGCTTAAAGCCTACAAGCCAGATGTCTCTAGTTTTACTGTAGTATGTTAACAAAAAGACTAGCCTAGTAAATATATTTTAAGTAAATTTTAAGATGACTTTTTTCATTTAATTCCCATGAAAGGGGAATTCCCATGAAAGGTTTATTTCAAAATATTTTTTTATCATCTTGAGATGATAAACATAAAGAGAATATTAATCTTTTATTATTGTTTTTTTTTGTGCTTGTGTGTGTGGCTCCCTTACATGCATACTACTTTAGACATACAACTCTAGAAAATTACTTTTTAAGGAAAAGCATTCCTTTCTAGTGAAGATCTCCAAAAGTCCATGGGTTCTATCTTGTTTTTTAGGAGGGCACAATACACAATTGGTAGATATATCTAACAGTAACTAGGACTCAGTTTCTTTTCCTCCTACGTTTATCTCCTAAGGAGCATGATTATTTGGTAAGAAAAGATGGAACACATTTTGAAGACATTGTTCAGATATATGCATATCTTCTGTCCTAAATATCCAACAGTTGATATTAAGTAAGGATGTGCTTTCATACTTAGGAACATTTTGCACATTTCTAAGTTACCATGGTTCTATTCTTGCCTTCACCTAGTAGCATGCTGGAAATCTGGCTCCCCAGAAGAAACAGTACCCTGAGTTCTCCTGTTTACTGATTTCTGTAGTATAAATATCTCCAACATGTGGAATTTAAGTTTCTAAAAGTTTAGCAACTCCTCAAGTTTTTTTATTATTTAACAATTGACTCTTGTGACTGTAGGAGATATGTTTAGTATCAGGGCATTGCCACTCAGCCTTCTCCATACTGTTTGGTCTCTTCAGTTGTTTTATGCGCCAGGAACAAACTTACTAATAAATGTGGAAATTCTGCACTGCCATTTTTAGAGTGCTGACAAAATTTGGTTTGTATATATTTGTTTATTTTTATGTTTGTTTATTTTTATGATTTTGTTTGTTTGTTTTCAAGACATGGTTTCTCTGTGTAGCCCTGGCTGTCCTAGAATTCATTCTGGAGACCAGGCTGGCACAGAGATCTGCCTCCAAAGTGCTGGGATTAAAGGCGTGTGCCATCACTGCCTGGCTTTCTATTTATTGTTTAGACGTTTATTAAGAATGGTTTTGACTTCATGAGTAAGCAAGTTTATAGAGTTTATGTAATTATACACAATAATTTATTTTTAGGTAAAGGTTGAATTTATACTTTTTGAATAATGTAATTTCTAATATCATGTAGCTAAAGGATCTCTTATGGAGAACTGTAGAAGAATTTGTAAAACTCTTTGATCCAAAATACCAAGAAAGGCTTCCAATATTTAAGATGGAATTGACATTTGATGAAGATAAAATCGAATTTTATCCCACCTTTCAAGATTTGGAAGACATTGTTTTGGGTTTGATAGAGCGAATATCTGAAACTCTGCAGGTATTACTTCATTTTTAACCACCATGTGTCCTTATACTGTTCTATTTCAGTATTTGAATCGAATCTCACTGTACTGTGATTAGACATAAAATATTATGGCTCTTTATTCACTCCCAGTCAGTTTGTTATTTTTTCTTTGAAAACATCTGATAATTGGAGATGTCTTTCTTCTTTTGACCTTTTCTTGTAGTTGTGAACTAATACTGATGGCACACATTTTTAATCCCAGCACTTAGGAGGCAGAGGCAGGCAGAACTGTTGAGTTTGTGGCCAGCTTTTTCTACAAAGAATTCTGGGACAACTAGGGCCACATAGAGAAACCCTGACTGAAAAGCAAACAGAAATCAAAGCAATATCTACCTCATAGTTCTTTCTAGTGCGCTTTAGTGTTATTATCTTGGTATAGTTAATAAATGTTTGTTAAATGATAGAAAACTAACCAAACTAAGGTGGTTTGGGGTGTTCTGTGGCAGGTGTTTCATCTTTGAGGTTTTACATTTTGAAACATGGTGTCACTTTGTAGCCCATACTGGCTTGGAACTCTGTGCCCCTGCTTTAGCCTCCAGACCAACTGCTGGGATTCAGACACTATCAAACTCAGCTCCAATTTACGGTGTTACATTATATTACAAACTATCTACTATTAAGTTTTTAAGTAACTTTTCATTGAGTTACCTTTATTGGATCACAACAATTTAAAGAAAATGTTATAGATCAGTTCAGTTAGATATTATGTTCATTTCTTTTCTTTCTTTTTTTTTTTTTTTTCTTTTTTTTCCCTGTTAGAATGTCCCAACAGTATCTTCTTGGCTGTCAGGAGCTTCAGCACCTGTCAATGTTGACACAGAACTTCCAGAACATGTGTTACAGTGGGCTCTTGGTACGCTGAAGACAGCAGTAGCTCGGAACTTAGAGGGTGCAAAAGCACATTATGATTCATATGGTATGCATGAAATGTATTTTTTTAATCATTCTACTTTTTAGCTAGAATTTGGTCAGCTATTTGCCTCTCTCCCTCTCTCTCTCTCTCTCTCTTTTTGAGACAGGGTTTTTCTGTTTCTCTGTTATAGCCCTGGCTGTCCTGGATTCACTTTGTAGACCAGGCTGGCCTCGAACTCACGGAGATCCATCTGCCTCTGCCTCCTTGAGCACTGGGATTACAGGCATACGCTACCGTGCCTGGGTGGTTTGCCTCCCTACTTTAAAGTTTTTCATTAACATTTTAATGTCAGCCTACAAAATAATGGCTGTTAAATCTTTGCTTTTCTTATTTCTTTAAATGTAGTAATATACATATGTTTATACCCAATTAAATCACACTTGAGCAGGCTACCCTATTCTATGATTATACAGAAACATTTTACTATATTAAAATGTTATTCATATTTTAATTGGAATATTAATTTTCAGTTGAAAAGTATAACTGGCTTCTTGATGGGACAGCAGTGAAGAGTATAGAAGCTTTCCAGAAAGAAAACCATACTTTTGATGAATACACAGAGGTTAGTGGTGATTCTGGTTTTTCATATTCACTTTTATTTTTAATTAATTATATCAATTTTCTTTTTCCCTCTCCATTCTCCAGTCCCTCTCCATGTACCCCTCATTTCCCCTTAAATGATGGCCTCTTTTTGTTATTGTTACATATATGTATAATATTTATATATCTAGGCATATATGTAACATCTATAAGTATATATGTGTATATAACATATATATGCCTAAATAAAAATAAAAACAACCTGCTGAGTCCATTTAATGTTGTTTGCCTGTATAAAATTTCAGGGTTGACCACTTGGTATTGGATAACCAATTGGGGGTTCATCCTCTGGGGAAATTAATCCCCCCTTTCTCAGCAGTCTGTAGTTGCCTATAATTCTTTGTTTATGGGTACCACTGCCACTTCTTGAGAGTTTCCCTTTCCACATAAGCACCTCTATTGGTGATGTTCTTTTTCAGGTCTTTTTTTCGGCAGCCTTACTGTGGCAACATCCTGGGTGTAGCTTCCCTGTCATTTCTAGGAGACACACTCTCACAGCAGATTTCCTGGTCCTCTACAGTCTTTCCCACCTCTCTCTCACCATGTTCCCTGAGCCTTAGGTGCAAGAATTGTGTTGTGATGTATGTAACACTGAGGCCGGGCACCTCATGATCAGTTGTTCTCTGTACTTTGACCAGTTGAGACCATTACAGACAACTGTTAATTTTTTAATTTTTAAAAATGTGTTTTAATTAAACTATAATTACATCATTCTTCCCTGCCCTTTCCTTCCTCCAGCCCTCTTCACCCTTTCTCCAACACACGTGTGACACACACACACACACACACACACACACACACACACACACACCACTGACTCCTTTTTGTTGTTTGTATGTATATAGTTTCAAGACTAACTGACCACTTTATCTTGAATAGCCAACAGGGGGCTTACCCTGGAGAGGCTAGTTTTCCCTCTCTTGTTGCAGATATTTGATCCCACTGTGAACCTCAAAATTGTGAACTGTAAAACCCTGTTAATTGTTTGGTTTGGTTGAGCCCGACACACACCTTTAATCCAAGAACTTTCTGTCTATTTCAAACAGGTGACTATGGTATGGTTCACCCAGTCCTAGCACATACCTTTCTTTAGTCCAAGAGCTCTCTGTATATCAGATCTAAAAAAATTAACTATAGGTCAAGAGGCAGAGCATGAAACCAGCTGACAGGGATTAAAGCGCAAGAGGAAATTGGAATTGAGGGGTATTTATAAAACATCATGGAAAAGAAGAGCTTTTAGCTCAAACTCTGGCTTTAGCTTTGCCTTCAGCTCCTCAGTTCCCTTGCTTTTTGGGTTTTGAACTAGCAAGCCTTCGGCCTTCGGTATCTTTTGTTTTGTTTTGTTTTGTTTTTTGCCTTTTGCTCCTGGGTGTCAGTTGAGCTAGTGAGCCATTTGGTTTTTTTTCATCTGGACCTGAGCTGAGAAGGAAGGTCAGCTGGGTGCTTTCTCTGTGTCTCTGAGCTAACAGCATCTGGCTCCTGAGCCCTTCTTTGTAAAATAGAATGGTTGGGATTTTCATCATTGTTTATAACAACACTCTCTCAGTCATTAGAGTGTGAAGGCCAGGCTGCCATATACCATGCTGTGCGACTATGTCTTCTAGAAATAGCTACAAAAACAGGACCTACACAATCACAATGTAAACAGACATGCTAACTCAGAAGGAAAATTCTGTTTATTTTTAGTGAATAATTTTTGAATTTTCCTTACTTAGGATTTTTTTTTTTTGCTCTAGGTATAAATGCTTCAAATAATATAAATAAAATTTCTTATTCAAAACATCATTTTAGTGAAGTTATTGATTTACCTTATAAATATTTTAATTTTTTATTTAGTTATCTATTGATGTAATACATTTTTATTTAAACATTTTAAGATAGGACTTATTTATTTATTTATATAGAGAGTATATGCTTATGTACCATGACATGCATGTAGAAGTCAGAGGAGTCAGTTTTCTCTTTCCATATGAGCCGCAGAGACTGAACTCAGGCAGTTAGGCTTTCGGGCAGCGCCTTTACTTGATAAGTTATCTCATACACTCCTATAAATTTTTTAATCACACTTAGTAAGATTAAAAATAAACAATTCTTAAATGCTTCCCTCAGGAGCTTAGATTTGTTACTGAAGTCTTGTAGAAATAACATGTATGGTGTGTTGATATAAATATTAGGATAGAGATATTAACAAAGTGTCATGTGAACACAGAAGAAAATTGCTATTGTTTTTTTTAAATTGAAGGTTTCATGCAAGAATGGAACAAAAGGGGCTGGAAAGATGGCTCGGTGGCTAAGAGCACTGGCTGCTCTTCCAGAGGACCCAGGTTCAATTCCCAGCACCCACATGGCAGCTCACAACTGTCTGTAACTCCTGTTCCAGGGGATCTGGCCACCCCCACCCATGCAGACAAAACACCAGTGTACATAAAATAAAAAATAAATAAGTTATTTAATTAATTTAAAAAAAGGAATGGAACAAAAAAGTGTGTGTTTGTGTATGTGTGTGTGTTTACACGGTTTCACTATGCAGAACAAGCTAATCTAAAACTCACTGTGTAGCCCAGGTTGGCCTGCCTTAAATGCGTGATCTTCTTGCCCCCACCTCTCAAATGCAAAAATTTCAGGAACACAATACCATGTCCATTTGAGCCCTCATTTGAAGCAGATTTTAAATGGAGATAGAAGGGAATAGAGAAGAAATAAATAATAATAATAATAATTAATGAAAAAAGAGGCCATGAATTTAAAAGAGAACAAGGAATGGTTTATGGTAGCATTTTGAAGGGAGGAAAGAAAAGGGGGAAATTATGTAATTATAACCTCAAAAACATGTCTGTTAAATGCAGCTTATGGGGTCATTCTTTTCACTGAATTTCTTAAATTGTTGTAGTGAGTTCTTAATTTCCAAGGTTTCCATTTCCTTTTTTTTCTGAATATATATCTCTTACCTGAATTTCTAATCCACATTGATGAATTTCTTATTATTTGAATTGAGTTCTTTAGTCACTTAGCTATTTATTTGACAATACTTTTTATTTAGGAATCGAGAAATTTACCTGTTTTTAGATCCTTCTTTTGCCTATATTTTTGTTTTTTCCCCTTCTTATCCCAACAAAAACAATAAATGAAAAAAAAAAGGGCAGGGGAAAGTTATAAAACATTTTTAAAATTCACTTAATATCTTTTCTTGCTGAAAATAGAGGGTAGACATGCCACATTTCCCTCGGCTTTATCAAATTCTGCTCATGCATACATTGAGATGACCACAAGGATTTTGTTCTTCATTCTAATGTTCTATGTCATATTTACTAATTTGCATATATTGAGCCATTTTTTAGTACCTTGAGATATATTAAGATGTTCGCAGGTAGGTAGTAAGTTAAAGAATTGCCTGGAATACAGGTTGAGTTCAAAGTCAACCAGGGCAACTTAATGAGACCGTGTCTTAAAATAGGAAGTAAAAATGTGGCTTGATAGTAGACTGCCATGCAAGAGGTCCAGGACAAACAAACAAACAAACAAACAACAACAAAAAAAAGAAAGATTCTTTTTATAGTGTGTACGTGTGTATGCACATAAGTACGTTGATCCACTGACCTAGAAGAAAAAAAAATTCAACATTTTTATTTCTTGATCCATTTGCTATTTAAAAGTAAGTTGTTTAATTTTCATATATTTGTGGTTTCCATAGTATTCTTTATTGAGTTATAATTTCATTTTATATTCAGTGTGATTCCAAGTTTTCAGAATTTGCTGCACTTTGTTGTGTGGTCTGTTCCTAGGATTTGTGCTATTCCTGTGGGAGGAGCCGTGGGGACTATGGTCACACTGTTATAGGAGCTTTTATAGAGTGCTAGGGAGCAAACAGGTCTTCACGCTGGCTGGACGGCTGCTTACGTGCTGAGTCCTCCCTGCCCATCACTTGCTCTGTTTTTTGGTAGTAGAACTTAATCCATTGATTAACTGCTGATAGATAAGGTCTTATAATAGCCAAATGTTAACTTGTTTTCTGGGTTGGTGTGCTTTCTGTGTCCCTGTCTAACAGTTAAGGGATTTCAGATTTTGTCTTCTGCAATTTCTTTGACGATCTTTCCTTCTATTTTCCTGAAGATATTTATAAACACATTTATAGTAGACTACAGGGAGATTGTCTGTATCACACAGAACCCTTCCATTTCCCCCCGATATTTTTGTATTTTACAAACCTAGCATTGTTTAATTTTGTATCATGACAAATTTATAGGAAACATACTAGAGTGATCGTTCGTTTTGTATTTTTCCCTTTCGTTGTTGTTAAATTCATCAGCATTCATTGTTCTTCATTAGCATTAGAACCGTTTGCTTTCTATCTATTAAGATTCCAGCTAACAACAAGGCAGGTATTCAAGATGATCCATTGGACAATGAAACGGTTAAACCCAATTCATTAAATACTGTAAACTGTAGAAGAATAGGATAACTTTGAGATAAAAATGAGGAAAAATCTTTCATGAATGTATAAGTTGAACAGGATGTTTGGCTTGGGTTGAATAGGGATAACAAGAAAGAAAGTTGATAGAAGCATTAAAGATGGATTGTTACATTAAGTCAAAGATTGTTCAGAGTTTGCATGCATGTTTCATTTGCACAAAATACAATGTATGTTGTCAAATTTTATTTTATACTACTTTGTTTAATTTTTGAAAATCATTCCAGTATTTAAATATTAAGAAGGTGATATAGATTCCAAGATCTTGGATTTTTGGTAATGGTAGAACATAATATTTTTGTCCTTCTTGCCTACTTTAGTATAAAACAAAGGTTTCTTATATTTTTTTTCCTAAAGATTGAATTAGAACCTTCAGAGAGGTATTCAATAATGGTAAAAACAAATATATGCAGCTACAAACATTGTTGCATAAGATAGGTTTGTTACTAAATAGAGTTGACTTCTGGGCATGTTTTTTAATTGAGGAAACATTGCAAAATATGCAGATTTTGTGTTGCAGATGTCAGCACACTTGGTATTTACTAGTAGATCAAATTTCACCAGAAAAAGAACAAGAATGTTTGAGCACTGGCTGTGTAATCCAGTGGTAGAGCACACGCCCAGAATCTTTAGGCTCTGGGTTTACTCTTGGCATCAAGAGGGAAAAGGAATGTAACAAAAGAAACATGAGTCACTTAGCAAGAATAATATATTACAGGATTAAGAATTTCATTATAATATAGTTTTATAAAATCACTAATTATAAAATTCTAACTTTAAAAAACATTCTTCTTTAAAGTTTATAGAAAAATTTTTCAGTCTTGCTTCAGAAATAATGCTTTTGCCTCAATGGGTTCATTTTCCTATGGTTCGTTTGGACTGTGAAGACTTGAAGACAGGCTTGACAAATAAAGCAAGAGCCTTTGCAAACAGATTATTAAGTGACATAGCTTCAAAACATAGAAAAGAAAATGAATCGTAAGTAAATTAATTACTATATTCAGAATAACAGGGCCAAAGGAACTTTTCACTAAATTTACTCTTGTTTAAAAACAATGGCTGTATTTTTTTTCTGACATTTCTAGCGGTGGCATGACAATACAAATATTTTAAGGCGTATGAAGGCAAGTCTGTATAACAGTTTTTGTTAATAATGACACAGGATACCCAGAGTCATACTTCTCTACATAGGACATGCTAAGATATAGAATTTAAAATATATAAACATCTTCTTTTTTGCTACGTTGTTATATTTCACAGGGCATGAGCTATGCTATACCCTTTACATGCATTCTTGTATCACACAGTCCAGCAGGATGGATGTTAATAGCTTTATTTTAGGAATCTAGAAACTGGATCTTGAAAGTTGTCCTAGTAAGCTTTTTATTACTGTGATGAACACCATGGCCAAAACAACTCTGGGGAGAAAAGGGTTTATTTCTCCCCAAGTATGTGGTTTGCTCCCATGGCTTGCTCAGATTAGTTTATTGTGTAACCCAGGACTACCTGCCCAGGAGTGGTACTGCCCACAGTGGGCTGGGCTCTCTTACATCAATCAATCAACATGCCCCTGGCCAGGCTGATAAAAACAAGTCTTTAGTTGAGGTTTCCTCCTCTCAAATGACCCTAGTTTGTGTCAAGTTGACAAAAACTACACAGTACCCTAGAAGCATCTGAGTCAGGATTGTATCAGGACTGTCAGATTTAAGGTCTGCTACATTGCTTATCTCACTCTTAAAATGAGCTTATGAAATCACTAAAAAAATGAAGTATACTAATATTTTCAATTGAAAATATTAGCTTGATTTTTATTAATATGATACATGGTGATATCAGACAAGCTAAGCTAAAATATTATATGATATGTTAGTGAATCAGCCAATTGTTTTTAGGATAGAGAGTCCCTATTTAATATCAATCATAGCATATATTTATTAAATATGCTACAACTACTTACCATAAGTATAGTAAAGCAAAGTGTTCTGTCAGTATTTGCAGTGAGTTTGAATCAATTAAAGAGCATGCTCTCCGAGTTCCTGAGACAACAGAAGAAATGATGGAGCAAATCGCTTTTGTAGAAAAAGCTCGAACTAAAGGAATTTGTCAGTTGGCTGAAAGGATCCAGGTAAAAAAACAAAAAAAACAAAAACAAAACAAAAAAAAAAAAAAAACTAAGAAACTCTTATGAAGTGAATTATCAGTATTGACGCGGCCAGGTCAACAAACATAGCAACCCAGAAGGCCCTATATGTGTTCTTGTGATCACACCCATTGCTTTCTCTCTCTCCTCCCTCTTCTATTTGATTTTCTCTGAAATTATGGGCTTGATGTTCTTTATTTTCATCAATTATGTGCATATTTTTAAACAAACATATTCTTCAGCAAAATTTTAAAAAATGATTTTCTACATTTAATACAAGCCTCAAAACCTGCACAAGATTCTATCCCATTCAAATATATTTAGCTTTCATTCTGTTTGGAAGACCTTTAAAACTATAAAACATGACGTGGCAGTGATGGTACATACCTTTAATTCCGGCATTCAGAAGCAGAGGCAGAAGGATCTCAAGGTTAGCCTGGTCTACAGAGCAAGTTCTAGGACAGCCAGGGCTACACAGAGAAACTCAATCTTAAAAAACAATGAGTATACATTTAAAAAAATCAGCATGTTCCCAATTCCCTTACATGTTTAAATGTTCCCAATATCATTACACGATTAAATGTTTTATGAGTTACATGTGAAAAGCAAATTCCCAAGAACGTACATATATTCATGTCTAAGCAACTTGTAGGTTAGCAAAGTGTAAACAAGCAAGGTATTTTTTCAGCCAGTTTTTCTTACTGGCAGGCAGCAATTTGTGGTTACAAAGAAAGGATCAATCATTTAAAAAGTAATCTGTTGTAGTAAATAAAATATAAGAGTGTTGGGCTGTATAATGTTTATTATTAGCCCTAAGATCATCACAGCAGTTATTTAACCCCTTATCACAAGTAACAAGACACAGACACCTGTTAGATCTATGACTGCCTTATTTACCTTGGGCTGGGCAGAGGTTCACTTACACTGTCTAGTGTCCTCACCATCTCTCTCCCATCCCCCATCCAGTGCCACCTACCTTAATTCTCCTCCCCTGGACTGCCTTTTATCCATAACCCAATGGTACTTACTTACTTATTCTTCATCTGGGCCTTTTCACACACTTAATGTAGTCTTTCCCATGTCTGTCTCCCATGATTCTCTCTTGAACCCAAAAGCCTGAGAACCTTAGCCATGCCTACCCCATTCTGCCCTGCCCAGGTATAGGCCATTTAATTAGCCTATCAGGTTGGTTTACACAAGGCTAGGTATACCCAGATCTTAAGGACTAGTAATTTGCATCAGACCAACCTACAGCAATTCCCTTTTCCATCTAAATAAAAAGGCCATTTTTTAAACAGTAAGAATAATAATGAAACAATTATAAAAACCAATGGGTAAGACTATATATATATATATATGGTTGTGTACCTAAGTTATTTTTATAGTTTCTATCTATTTACCTGAAAGCATCTATCTAGACCTAAAACATTTTTTTTTTTTTTACAATTTCTGAGCAATTAAGTTAATTGTAATACTATGATTATCTGGTCTTCAACCCCATCAGAGACATGAGAAGGAATAAAATTAATTACTTGAGTAAATAGGAAGCACATACCAGCAGCTTCCAAAAATAGAAAATTGACAGAGATATTTTGCTGCTTGAACAGCCACCCAAAACTCTCTATAATGTTGGAGCATCATCTTTAGCCTTCTGGCTCAGTATATCTGACAGACATATATGTGAAGCAAGAACTATTTAGGACTGTGTGGGCAGAGTTCAGCAGTCAACTTGGCCTGCATTTAGGTTTGCGCGATTTAGGCAGAATTCTGTCTGTCATGAAGTGAGGGCATTTTCTTTACCCATGAAGCAAGGGTGATTTCTTTACCTGGGTGGCTGGTTTACCACATTTGAAACTATCTCCACATGGAGGTTCTTTGATATTCATTGTCTTTTTTGAGGTAGGCTGAGTGCTGCCAGGAGACGGCATGTCTCATTGTCAAAAAAATCTTTAAAATAATAAAACATTCTTAAATGCCATATTCTATAGGTCTCTTGGGTTTTTGAAGACTTATCTATCTATCTATAGAATCATATTTATCTATTAAAACTAGGATGCATATTTTGTGATAAATTAGACTAGTGTCTGACATGACCATGAGTTGATTGACTATTAACTTGCATTACCTAATATTTTAAATAGTTTGCAATAACAGCTTTGAAAGCATTGGAAGTAAACCTTGCATTTATAAATAAGTTGTGTGGGTACAGTACCTCACACCAGAATAAAAATACACATAGTTATGTGTGTGTGTCACCTTAAATTTAAATTCTATACCAGTGTATCAAAACTAAATTTATTTTTGCATCATTATATAAAATTATATACCAATGAGTGAAAAATAACCTTATTTGAAAATAGCAAACCCTTAAGTTGAGAAGTAGATTCAACAATCTACCTTTTGTCTTATTCCTGTAAGATATCCCTGCATTCCCTTTTCTTTCTTTTCACCTCTTTTTTCCTATCTAAGAAAGAAATAAAGATAGAGAAATTCCTGAGTCTAACATTATTTTCTCTCTGAATAAGACCATTAATAACTTATAACCAACTCCCAGTGACAAACATCCATAATCCAAGAAAACAACCAAAAACCTACCCATCTCCCTTAAGGGAAATTGGATGTCGTTCTCATGGATTTCTTCCAGCTGATTTTTGAACACATAGAAATCCTGTTTGGGGCCCAAAGAAAATTGGGAAAAATGGTTAATTAAGGTAGCATTAATATTTGTGGTCCACTCTTTGAATGTTGAGAAATTTTAGGCTTAATAGAAGTCCTGTTTGGAACAGTCTGAGATGCTGACCAATTGAGATTAGTAGCTTTCTTCAAAGCTCTCTTGGGAGCAGGCTTTGATGAGGAACAGCAATTGAAACAGTTGAGGCTGGCCCATGCAGGATGCTGGACAAAGTCTGTGAATTGTATGGTTTTCCTGTGTTACATGGCTAATATCCATTTATAAGTAACTATATACCATGGGTGTCATTTTTGGTTCTGGGATAACTCACTCAGGATGATCTTTTCTAGTTCCAATTGCTTGCAAATTTTACAATGTCCTTGTTTTTAATAGCTGAGTAGTATTCCATTGTGTAAATGTACCACAATTTCTGTACCCATTCTTCGATTGAGGGACATCTAGGTTGTTTCCAGTTTCCAGCTATTATGAATAAAGCCGCTATGAACATAGTTGAGCAAATGTCCTTCTTGTGTGTGGTGGAACATCTTTTGGGTATATGCCTCAGTAGTATAGCTGGGTCTTGAGGTAGAGCTGTTTTCAGTTTTCTGAGAAAGCACCAAATTGATTTCCAAAGTGGTTGTATAAAATTGCACTCCCACCAGCAGTGGAGGAGTGTTCCCTTTCTCTGCATCCTCACAAGCATGTGCTGTCACTGAAATTTTTATCTTAGCCATTCTGATGGGTGTAAAATGGAATCTTACAGTTGTTTTGATTTTCATTTCCATCATGACTAACCTGACTTTTTTTTTTTAAAGTGTTACAGCACTGCATTATAAGATATGGATCAATGAGATTCATAGGGAGTAAAATATTCTGCCTCTCCAATAATATACATCTACTGTGGTAAAGTTTTTTTCCTTTGCCATTCACACAGCAGCAGCTGTCTGGACTACTGTTATTATGAAAGTCAAAAAAGATAATATTACTAGAGATGCAAAATAAGACAAAAGATGATAAAGTATTTATCACCAAAGGTTAAAAATAAATTATGAGAACAAAGAAAATTTAAGATATTTTAAAATCAAAAGTTTCAAAGGTTGCCAAACACTTGATTACCTTTAAAAATCATATACAGAGAGGTCAAAGAGTTACCTTTATATTAAATCAACAATTAGTGAAAAATAACTTTGTGTATGGAAGCATATGTGGTGTGTATGTGGGGTGGGTGTACATGGGCTATGTGTGTGGAGGGCAGAAGCCACCATTGGATGTCTTCCTCTGTCCTGCTCCTGCTTGTTTGTTTGGACAGGGTTTCTATCCTGACTCTGGAGCTCGCTTACTCAGTCTGGTGATGAGTGTGTTCCTCAGATCCTCCTATCTCCACCTCCTGCCTGCTGGCATCACAAGCACACAGGGCCACACCGTTTATTGTTGTTTTGGGGTCCAAACTCAGGCCCCTGCAGCAAGTGTACTGCCCAACAAGCCATCTTACCAGCCCAGGTGAAAGCATTTAGGGGGTTTGGTTTTTTGTCTTGAGACAGGGTTTCTCTGTATAGCCATTGCTATCCTTGAACTCACTCTGGAATCCAAGCTGGCTTTGAACTTACAGAGATCTGCCTGTTTCTGCACCTCCGAGTGCTGGAATTAAAGGTGTGCACTGCTGTGTCCTGATAAAATTGTGTAGCCCAGGCTGGTCTCAAACTCATGATCCTCCTGCCTCCACTTTCTTCATCAAGCTGTACCACCATGAGCCACCAGCACATTTAAAGAGTTAAAAAAAAACCCACATTAAAGTATTTGACTTGAAGCCAAATAAATGTATGATAGCTGTTGGCATACCCAGGTGATTTGGGCAGGACATAAAATATTAAATTTGAAAGATTATTTAAAATTGTTGGCTCTGTTCTTTTCTAATATGATATAGCTACAATTTCTTTTGTAGGAATCTAAACGCCAAATGAGTTACTTCTTAGATGTTTTTCAATATCCTCAAGAAGACTTAAATTTAAATGCAACTGTCCTCATGTGGCCTACAAAAATTAACCCTGTTTTTGATGCAAATGATGAAGTAAGTATACTTTAAGTGTATAATTTGCATTCTGAAAATTTAAATATTATCTGCCCTCTCCATCTCTCCCTCCTTCCATTTCCATGCATGTCTGTGTGTGTGCATGCGTGTGTGTGTGTGTGTGTGTGTGTGTGTGTGTGTATGTGCGCGTGTGTGCGCGTGCGCACTCGCGTGTGTAGTATTGCATGCCGGTGGAGATAAAAGCACAGTTTTCAGAACTGGTTCTACTTTGACCTTGTTAGGCCTGGGTATTGAACTCAGGTCATTAGGCTTAGTGGTATCTTACTGGCTGAGCCATCTCACTGTCAACATTCTGACATTTTAAGTACAGTGCGGATTTTATTTAATTTTCATACCAACTTGCTGTCTGACTTTAAAAACTTCACGTGTGTCCTTCCTTCACCTTTTATGATCTTGCCAGCTTACAAGATACTTTTAGTTTTTACTCACCAGGTTTGTTAAGTGTAGGATGAACAACAAAGAGGTCAAAACTATTATGTAAATTAAAAGTAAGCATTGAACTAAGTTATTTTATTTATTAAACTATTCAATATTCATAACATCTTAGCTGCTTCTATTTGCCTCATCTTTTTAAAAAAAAAAGATTTATTTTTTATTCATGAATGCTCTATCTGCATGAACACCTGCAGGCCAGAAGAGAGTACCATATCTCACTATACATAGTTTTGAGTCACCATGGGATTGCTGGGAATTGAACTCAGGACCTCTGGAAAAGCGGGCAGTGCTTTTAACCACTGAGCCATCTCTCCAGCTGCAAAGACAGATTTGTTTGTTTTGTTCTGTTTTTTTTCTTTTTGTTTTGTTTTGTTTTATTTTGAGGCAAGATTTTTCTGTGAATCCTTGGCTGTCTTTGGAATTCACTTTGTAGACCAGGCTGGCCTTAAACTCACAGAAATCTGCTGGCCTCTGCCCCAGAATGCTGGAATTAAAGGCGTGCGTCACCACTGACCAGTAAAGATAGGCTTGGGTTTTTTGTTTGTTTTGGTTTGGTTTGGTTTGGTTTGGTTTGGTTTTGCCTCATCTATAGATGATTAAAATGTAACTCGTATTAAGAAGTTGGTAAACTTCCTCAAATTCACAAAGATTGGAGGTAGCAAATTTAGGATTTTATATTACACTGAACACAGCTTAAAATTCCTTAAAGTAACCAGCAGGTTTATCCTAAGTAATAAGGGAAAGCATAGGATAGACAAGACTTAATCTTGATGCTTTGATCTTGTAGTCTTGATATGCCTCTTGACTTCCATATGTCTCTTCATCTTTGAAGAGAAAATAATAATTTAGAAAGAGTACTTAACGGTTCTTGATATATGGTATGTACATTCCCAATAAACGGTAGCTTTTAATAATATACAAAATATATTAGTCAAACTATATAATTAACAAATTTGAGTTTTGAAAGATCTAGGAAAATTTGTCTCTGTGATTTACTCTTTGCACTTTTATATTAGTCATTAAAGAAAATTATTTTTGTTTCCATTGTTCTCTAAATTATTATAAAACATTCATATTTTTATTTGAAAATTCTTTCTACTCCACTAATTAACATCATTAAATTATCTCTTTTAAAAAGCTCATTGAGAATGCCAAACATATGAAAGAAAATGAACTAGTAACCAAGAGAGAAAAACTGATTTTGGAAATAGAAAAGGAATCTCGGCGCATGGAGGAGTTCACAGAATTTGCGGAACTGGAGCGCATGCAGCAGGTGAGACACAGACTCAAGACTGTGTGGCAGCTGCAGGTGGAGTAGACACAGGGCAGATTGACGCTTATTAAATGTAGAGGAGACACGCATGTGCCGTGTCAAGCAGAGGTTTACGTGGTTCATAAGCCTGATACTGTGTGGCTTAGTTACTATCACAGTGTGTGCATAGCCATATCTTGCTCATCATAGTGAAGTGGTGAAGTTAACGCAGCTGCTGTATAAAGGGAAGGGCACACCTTACGTAGTATTGTGCAACCTCGTTATACTACCATGTGGCTATTTCCTGGAACAGACATTTGTTTGCTTTCAGTATGTGACAGATGTAAGACAGCTACAGAAACGTATTCAGGAATCAGAAGAAGCAGTTCAGTTTATCAACAAAGAAGAGGAACTTTTCAAATGGGAATTGACAAAGTATCCTGAACTGGAAAAATTAAAAGTCAACATTGAGCCCTACCAGAAGTTTTTTAATTTTGTTTTGAAGTGGCAACGAACAGAAAAACGGTAATTTTTGGTATTGTAAAAAAATATATATTAAGCAAATGACACAAAAGATGTTCTTGTTAAAAATGCAAAAGAAAGACTTATTTACTTGTGTGAAGCCAGGATTATCTGGGAGCACCTAGATGATGCTAATATACCACTGAACCTTACCTGTTTTCAGAGTCAATTCACGTTTTATGTAACTAGTTTACACAAGGTTAGATATGTGGAATCGAGTTTGTGTTTTGCTTGGGCAGCGTTAGTTGCCTATTTGTAATTAGCTGCATGTTTCAGCAGAGGCGCTGTAGTTTAAATGATGATGTTAGCTATTCCTTTTCCTTTAGTTCCATCTGTGTGCCTCAGTTGTCTCTCTTACAGAAAAAAAATGAGGAGTCTATATAAAAGTTTAATATTTCTGTATAATTCAAAAGGTGAGTTTTAAAAATTATTTTTTTCTTTTTAATTCAGGTGGATGGATGGAGGGTTTTTGGACCTTAATGGGGAAAGCATGGAAGCTGATGTAGAAGAGTTTTCCCGAGAAATTTTTAAGACACTGAAATTTTTCCAAACCAAGCAAAAGAAAGAATTACAAGAAAAAAGAAAGGCAGCAAGAAAACGATCTTTGGTAGAAGAGAAACCTGAAGAAGAACCAAAAGAAAATCCTACAATTACTATGTGTACTACAGTAATGGAGCAGATAAAGGTTTTTAAGGTATGTATGTATTCAAATGGCATTTAAATATTACATATCTCTTCTCAATATTAAGTAGTATGTTTTATAAGATATGAAATACAGAAACCTACCTTTGATCTTATACGTTGTGTGTCAGTTATCCAGCTCCATGTAAAATCAAGCCACTACTGATCTGCCAGGGACGCAGAACAGAGTCGAGAACCAAACTACAACCCTGAGCCAGAATGCTATAGAGCTTTTAAGCACAGAATCACAAAAGCCAAAACAACTGTGCAAAGTTACAGTTATGTTTTCCACCAATCAGGATTCAGGGTTAAGGGACTTTCCCAGGAACATTTCTTTGTGGTACACTTACCCTGTTCTCATTGGTTGGTTTGCTCAGCTGCGGTGGGGTGACTTGTCCAGGATTCATGTCTCAGCTTGCCAACTAACACGTAACTGATCCAGGGAGGTCTTGGGAACTTAAACTTTGTTTGACCCGTATGGAAGATTTATTCAAAATGGCTTCAGTTTGGTTCATTTTTGCATTCACAAGTTGTTAGGGGTAAGTTGTGAGATGGCTGTTCTGAGAGAATAGCATTGACACTTTAAAAAGAAGGGGTGGGATTGGAGGGTTTGATGTGGCAGCACATTGCCTTTCATCCCAGTATGTAGAGGCTGAGGTAAAAGAATGACAAGTTCCAGGCTAGCCAGGGCTAGCTAGTGAGATATTGTCTCGCAAAAAGCAAACTAAAACAAAACAAAACAAAAACCAGAAATAAATAGAGGCCCATGTAACCATTGTAATTTTAAAATATTTTTTGCCTCCACTTTTGGTCAGATTTTCACCTTCTTCATTCCAGGCAAGAATACTAATGTGTATTTACATGTACATGCACATTTTTGTGTGTACTGTGAGTTCGTGTGTGGAGAAGCATGTTTATATACAGGCATCCATGCACATGTGTGTGGAGACCAGACGTGTGTAGCTTTCATTCCTCAGGTGCATCTACCTATGCATGCACATGTGTTGAGAAGTCAGAGGACAACACAGGAGTCAGCCCTCTCCTTCCTCCATGTGGGTCTTGGAGTGTGATCATGTGATCAACCTGGTTTACAGCCCAACCTGGCGTGAAGCTCATACAGCACAAGCTGTCCTCAAATTCATTATCCTCTTACTTCCGCCTCTCCAGAGCTAGGGTTTCAGGCATGGACCACCACACTAGTTGCCATTCTCTCCTTTTATAAAGTCAACAATGCACGGTGCTTCTAGTGGAGATGCCAAATGCGTAGCTAGTGTCCCCAGACTACAGACTTGTGATATGAGTTAGGCTCTGCCCCATCTGTGTCATGTTCTTCCAGTGACTAATTGAGTTGCCTTACTAAAACAAAACAAACAAAACTACCTACAGGTTGCTTTCAATATTTAATAGAGGTGGGATCTTTAGAGAAAGTAGGCCACTGTATCTTTATGCTCCAGATTCACCCTACATCTCTTTACTCTGCACCCTAGAGCATCAACCTTCTGCTGAATGCCTTCCGCTGCACACTCTGTGATGGCTTAAATGGGGATGGCCCCCATAGGCTCATATTTGACTACTTGGTTCCCAGGTGGTGGAACTATTTGGGGATGATAAGAACATAGGCCTTGTGGAAGAGGTGTGTCACAGGGGTAGGCTTTGAGGCTTCAAAAGTCTCCCTCCATCCCCTGAGGTCAGGCTTTTTGGCTACTTTATGTGTTCTTACATCTACCCCCTTCTCTCCCCCAATCCCTCCCCCCAAGCCCCCAACACTAGGTAGGTGAGAAAAAAGAATAGAGGGAAAGGGGGACATAGATCTGTTTAGACTACTTCCTGCTGATTAGGTGCATCAACTTCCTTGAGGCAAAGCTGATCTTTTTTTGACAGGATATCCAATTTCTTCTACTTGTCTCTGTGTAGGACTCCTTCACAAACTACTACAAATTGCAGCAACGTGGGGAGCAGCAGCTGACCTTTTTGGAGCACTCCTTTTTTGGAGCACCTCTGGCCCTTTTTGAGGCTCTGGCATTTATAAGAGTGCCCAGAATTCTAAACATAAACTACCCTCAGCTGGCAAAATCACGCCCCTCCTAGAGCATGAGACAAATTATAGTTAGTGGCTGTGGACTATCTGAAGCAGCCCCAAATCCCACACCTGTGATTAAAACAAAAACATATTTATATAACATAACTGGGTTTTAAAGAAACCAAAATTCTTACTACAATCCCCCGTGTATTCTCTGCCTCTTGCTTGTGGCTCAAAATGTGAGCTCTCAGCTGCTGCTCCATTTGTTGGCTCCACTCTGTTATCATAGACTCTAACCCTCTGAAACCATCAGCTCAAAATACACTCTTTCTTCTATAAAGTTGCCTTGGTCATGGTATTTTATCACATCAATAGAAAAGTATCTAATACACACTCCCACCTTCATGATGTCTGCATCAGAGTATAAGGCAAAACAACCATTGATTGAACCCATTTGTTTAAGATGCTGTCTTTTTTTCCAGTGTGTATTCTGACTTCTTTATAAAGAACCAGGTGTTCATATGTGTGTGGATTTGTGTCTGGGTCTTCAATTCAGTTCTACTGATCAATGTGTCTGTTTTTGTGCTAACGCCATCCTGTTTTCATTACTATAGCTATGTAATACAACTTGAAACTGAGGATGGTGAAACCCCTAGCAGTTCTTATAATTCTTTCACTATCTTGGATTTCTGGTGTTTTCATATGAAGCTGAATATTGTTTACTCAAGATCTGTGAAGAATTGTGTTGAAGTTTTGATGAGGGTTGCATTGAATTTGTAGATTGCTTGGCAGGATGGCCATTTTACTACATTAATCTTACCAATCCACAAGCAAGAGAGATCATTCCATTTTTCGATATCTTCTTTAATTTCCTTCTTCAATGTCTTAAGGTTTTTATTGTACAAGTCTTTCACTTGCATTATTACCGCAAAATATATTATTTGAGGCTATTGTGAAAGATGTGTTTCTCTGATTTCTTTTTTTTGTTCATTTATTATTTGAATATAGAGAGCTACTGATTTTTGTGAATTAATCTTGTATCCAGCCACCATGGAAAGTGTGTATCAGTTGTAGTACTCTCTTGGTGGAATTTTTAGGGTTAACTTTTGTATACTAGCGTATCATCTGCATTGACTTCTTTCTTTCCTATTTGTATCTCTTTGATCTGTTTCAGTTGTCTTATTGCTTTAGCTAAGTCTTAAAGTACTATATTCAATAAGAATGGAGAAAGTTAACAACCTTGAGTTGTTTCCTTGAGCTTCTTCCCACTTAAGTTAACATTGGCTATGGGCTTGCTATAAACTGCCTTTATTATGCTGAGGGGATGTCCCTTGTATACCTATCCCCTCTGGAACTTTCATCATGAAGGGATGTTGGATTTTGTCAGAGATCTTTTCTTCGTCTAATGGTGGTTATGTGGTTTTTGTCTTTCAGTTGGTTTATATGTTATCAACTTATGTATGTTGAACTTTCCCTGTATCTCTGGGATGAGGCCTGCTTGATCATGGTGAATGATCTTTTTCCAAGTGTTTTATTGAGAACTTTTGCATCTATGTTCATAAGTGAAATTGATCTGTAATTCTCTTTCTTTCCTGGGTCTTTATGTGGTTTGGGCATAAGGATAATTTATGCATCCTAAGACAAGTTGGGTAATGTTCCTTCTGTTTTTATTTTGTAAAATAATTTGAGGAATATTGACATTAAATCTTCCTTGAAAGTCTGGTAGAATTCTACACTAAAACCATCTGGCCTTGGGCCTTTTTTGATTAGGACACTTTTCATAACTGCTATTTCACTAAGGGTTATATGTCTCTTTAAATTGCTTATCTAATCTTAAATTGCTATCTAATTGAGAAGGGATAGGTGATGATCAGTAGTTAATATATCTGACTGCCTGACTAGAGTGGGTTCCCAAGATTATTATATAATTTCTTATAATATGTTTCAAAATTGGCAAGTGTGAATTCTCCAACTTTGTTCTTTTTTTTTTTTTTTTTGAAAATTGCTATGGTGATTCCAATTATTTTACATTTTCCAATCAGCTTTTGAATTTCTGCTAGAAAGGCAGCCGTGTTTTTTATAGGGATCGTGGTGTTTTGAATGAGAATAGCCCCCCATAGACTCATATATTTAAACAGTTATTCCCCAGTTAGTGAAACCTTTTGGGAAGGATTAAGAGGTATGACCTTGTTGGAGGAGGTATGTCATGGGATGGAGGTTAGGTTTCAGAATACTCCTAGGATTCCCAGTGGTCTCTCTTTGCCTCTTGGTTGTGGATCAAGATGTGAGCTCTCAGCTGTTCCTTCCTCTGCCATAATGGACTCTTAACTCTCTGAAACTGTAGCCAAATTAAGTGCTTTTATTTTTATAAGTTGCTTTGGTTTTGGTCTTTTATCACAGCAATAGAAAAGTAATAAGACTGGGATTAAATTTATAGACCAATTTGTATAGTATTATTATATTAATATGATTCGTTCTTTTATAAACATTTTATTAATATTTTGAGAATTTAATTGTTCTGGTTAATTTTTGTTCACCTGGCACAAATCTTGATGTGTTTGGAAAGAAGGGATCTCAATTGAGGAGAATTGCCTTTATCAGAATGGCCTGTGGGCATGATTGTGGGGGCATTACCTCGACAGATAATTGATGTAGGAGGGCCCAGCTCACTGTAGGTGGTACCAACCCTGTGAAGGTAGGCCTCAGCTATAAAAGAAACATAGCTAAGCAAGCCAAAGACAATAAATAGTCCAGCAAACGGCTCCTTCATGGGCTCTGCTTCAATTCCTGTCTCAGGATCATGGCTTGGCTTCCTTTAGTGATGGCCTATAGCCTGGAAGCCATATAAACTCTTTCCTTCCCAAGTTGGTTTTGTCACTGATTTATCGTAACAGCAGAAAACACATTAGAGCATTCATACCTTAATTTTGATTATTCTAACCCCAACTCCTTCCAGATCCATTTTTTGTCCTCCACACCCATTCAACTTTGCTATCCCATAGTGTGCAGTTTGTGCCTCTGGGTATGTGGTGCAATTTGTAGGTTTGTGCCCATCCACTACAGCATGACCGATCTACCAGGGGCCATAACTTTAAAGACTCTCTCTGTCCTAGCTGTTAACTCTAACAGTCTTCATCTAGGAATGAACTTCATGTTTCCCTTCCCCATCCATTGGTGGGATTCTGTCTGGCTTGAGCTTGCACAGGTCTTGTATATATGTTACCACAGCTACTATGAGCTCATACGTGCATGCAACTACCTTTCTGAAACATCCAGAAAATTCTGTTTCCTTATAGCTATCCATTGCCCCTGGTTGTTGCAATCCTCCTACCCACTCTTCTGTTAATGATCGTGGAGCCTTGGAAAGACAGGGTGTGATAACGATATCTCATGTGGGGGTGATCAGTCCATTCTTGACTCTCTGAACCTTGTCCAGTTGTAGTCTCTGTGTTAATTATCATCTAATATAAAAAGAAGCTTCTCTGATGAGGTTTGAGAGATCCATTAATCAATGGGTGTAACAATAAGTTCTTGGGACTCAGCTTTATGCTGTGCCCATTTTGTGCAGTAACAGTAGTAGTTCTCTTCCTAGGCCTATCACGCTCTAGCCACAGCTTCTTGATCTTGATGATGGCACCAACACGTGTTCCACCTTGTACAATAGGCATTAGGTTCAATCAGAGAGTGGTTGACTGCTCCCATAACATGGAAATGCTCCAATTGCACCATTGGGCCTATCTTGCTAGGACAGGTGTTGGAGCTCACAGGATTCACAGCTGGGTAAGTCTGATGATTACTTTTGTCTGCTGGTAGCATACATAGCACCTTCCAGCATTCCAAAAAGTATCCCCTAGGTATGATCTGTCCAGGTCAGTATCAGCTTGATATCTCTACTTTCTGTGACTCAAGTATGTGTTATCTTCAGCAGTAGAGTTCTGGAAGGTAAGTATGAGCCATGGCAATAACCTGTAATATTTGGGAGTCTGTGGCACTTTCCTGGCCAACAACTCCGACAGCGGTAACCTATTCCTGGCACTGGGCTTTTTGTGTATTGACCTGTGGTATTTAGTAGGGACGTTGTCACCCGGATATAGAGTAACTACATCTAAACTCTTTAAATACATGTGTATGTATATACTTTAAAAAGCTCTTGCAGTAGTAGGTCGTTAGGTGACCTTTTTCAAAAGGTCTGTAGTACTCGTTATCCTTCCCTATTATCCCTCCTCTACTCTGCCCTTAACATGATTCTTCCAGTATGTGAGCATCTCTCCAATCATGTAAATCTATGTTCCTTTTAAAATTGTATTTGTAATTTTTAGTATGTAGGTCCTACCTTTCTTTATTATTTGTTTGTTTGTTTGTTTGTTTGTTTTTGAGACAGGGTTTCTCTGTGCAGCTTTGGCTGTCCTGGACTCACTTTGTAGACCAGGCTGGCTTTGAACTCACCGATCTCTGCTTATCTCTACCTCCCCAAGGCTAGGATTAAAGGCATGAACTACCAAGACCGGCTGGCCCACCTTTCTTAAATTTGTTGTTAAGTACTTTTTGTGAATGATACTAAGGTTCATGAATTTTTTTCCTAATTTATTCTTACTTTGGTAATTTCTTGATTATTTCAAACAGACTTTAGAATCATTTTGTTCCTTTTCCCCTTCCTCTAAATCTAGTTGATATATGATTGTATTCAAATAATTTGCAGAAAGGTAATCTTCCGATTATCAAGGTTTTATTTATACAATCCATGTGTATGGAAGTCAAATGACAATATTGTTTGTATTTTATTCTTAGGAGTATATCCCTACTGTCTCCATCCTGTGCAATCCAGGAATGAGAGCTCGTCACTGGAAACAGATGTCAGAAATTGTGGGCTATGACTTAACTCCAGATTCTGGAACTACACTGAGAAAAGTTTTAAAATTAAACCTTACACCATATTTAGAAAAATTTGAAGTTATAAGTGCGGGTGCAAGTAAGGTAAACAGAAGGAGAAACTGAATACTTGATGAATTTGTTCTCTGATAACCATTTTTTGATTTGGTATGATGTGTATAGTAGAGGATAGCAATGGGAAGGGATAGGGGTGAAAGATGAAAGAAAGAAGGCCACTCTTCTATAACAAACACTTACTAAAATCCAGCCTGCAAGCTGCTCTTTTGACATCTTCCTAATTCTGCCACATTCTGATATAGTTGGCTGGTACAGTAGTTGTTGTAAAATAAGAAATAAGCCTTAGGCTATATGTTTCATTATTATCCCTAAGATTATCATGGTGGTATCATTTAACCTGCTTTCACAAATAACAAGACACAGACACCTGTTAGATTTATAACTACCTGTTTACCTTAGGCCGGGCAGACATTTCACTTACGCTGTCTCAATATCCTCACCATCCATGTCCCAGCCCCCATCCAATGACAATTCCAGCAGATATGCTAGTGAGGACAGAGGAAATCCCACAAGATGCCAACTCTAGATGAAGAGCTGCAGGTAGTCAAAGGATGCTGAGAGGAGAGGCAGTCGAGCTCCAGCATAGGTTGTCCAACCCCAAGTGGTCAGTTAGGGGCAGATGTTTCTTTTGAGGCATGTTAAATAGATTCCAGTTGTATGTACACATGTGCCCACACATGTGCATGTGACACTTGTAGAGTGATAATGAATAAGATGTCATAAACTTGGGAGGCAAAGGGGGCATGGGGGAGGAGTTGGAACAAAGAAGGGCAGGAATGATGAAGATGTGGTGCTTATGTATGAAGTTCCCAAAATGAACAAGACATCACGAAAGCACAAAGTAAATGCTTCACTGAGGAACTAGACCTTGTCTCCTTCTTTGGGAGTGCCCATTTCAGAAAAATCTCCTCAGATGCTGGTACTGCTCACAGTGATGCTAAGACTGCCTTTCCAGATTGTCACTGAAGTCAGCTCCTAACCTGACAGTAAGAAAACAATGGAATTTTTAGCTCAATCAAAAAAAAAAAAAAAAAAAGAGACTCCTCCTTGATAGACAGAGACAGACAGATGATAGACAGATAGATAGACGGTTATGAAGATTATGGAATAATATGCAAAATGCTTACTGAGTTTCCAAGGGAAATTGAATAACATAAAGAAGTACCTTTTCCTTCATCCTATCACCCCCTTTCACCATCCTACTCTTTTTCCATTTCTCCCTTTCAGGAATTTTCTTTAGAGAGGGCCATGAACGCTATGATAGCAACTTGGGATGATATTTCTTTTCATATAAGTCTATATCGTGACACTGGAGTCTGTATCCTTTCTTCAGTGGATGAGATTCAGGCAATTCTTGATGATCAAATTATAAAAACTCAGACGATGAGAGGCTCACCTTTTATCAAACCATTTGAAAATGAGATCAAGGTATGTTAAACATGATGTCTCCTGGTCATTTATAAAAACTTCTATCTAATTTCATGTATATACTAATATAAATATTTTGGATGGCTTTTCAAATATTTATTCAAGTGATAGAACTAAGCCTTGATATTTTATGTGGTAAGATACAGAAATACATATTTGAAGATTACCATGCAGTAGGAGGCTGAAGAGATATCACAATGGTAAGAACACTTGTTCAGTTCCCAGCATCCACAGGTGGTTAATGACCATTTATAACCCCAGTTCCAGAGGATATGATGTCATCTTCTGGCCTCAGCAGATACTTTATGCACATGGTGAACAGATACAAAGGCAAAACACCCATATGCATAAAAATTTAAAAAACAAAGAGATTAACATGAATTAGGTTTACGATATTAACTAGTGTTTTTGAGAAGAAAATCACATTTTATTAAAAATTTTCAACTATAGTGATAGAAGGGAAACAGCTTCTTGGTCTTTGTCTTTCCTTCCCCTCCTTTTTCTTGAGACTCACTCTGTATTGTGAGCTATCTTTGAACTCACTGTATAGGCTAAGCTAGTCTCAAACTGGTGATGATTATTCTGCCTCAGATCTTGAGTGTTAGAATTACAGCATGAGCCTTTATTCCTGGCTCAATGTTTTCATTTCTTCCCTCCCTCCTCTTTTCTTTCTTCTTTCCCTGCCTGCCTCACCCATGTTAAGTGCACACTCTAGACTGACAAGCAGTTTTTATAGCAAGTGAAATTTCCAAACTTCATTCTAATAAATTTTAAATATACCTAATTTCTAATTTTTAGAAATCCCAGATCATATATCATATTGTATTATCATAGTAAGGTTCTCTATGTCACCATTTAGGTCTATTTTAAATAACAAGCATGAGAGTAATTGAAGAATTACTATCCATTTCAGAAAAATAAATGTCTTTATTGTTGGTATAGGTAACTCTGAAAGAATACAAATTATGATAATAGCTTCATAGTATAATGAAGTCCAGTGTATTTGCCCCTTGTTGAGTACAAAGCCAATAAAAGAACAAGGAGATAAAAGATTTAAAAAGGGCTATAAACTGTATAAAGTAAGGCAAGCACTGAGGATAACTCCCAAAACATTGAACAAAGAAAGTAAGGGATTTGGTGCAGTGTGTGACAATCTTTATGCTGAAGAGACTCATCATTTAACGTAGTGGCAGCCAGGTAGCACATACTTGCACATGCACAGTTAGAGATCACTCCTTAGCTGCTGCTAGAAAGTTTGAAATCCCAGGACTCAGGAATCTGAGGCAGGAGAATCACTATGCATTCCAATCTGACCTAGGCTATTTACTGAGTTAGAGGCCAGCCTGGACTACATGACAAGACCTTTTCTCAAAAACATAAGTAAATAAATAAAAAGAGATCATGCTTTTAAATACTTTGAATGTAGAAAGGCGGTAGATATTAAATTTTTTAATGTCACTAAAAAGTATTCTATGTGACTGGAAGAGGAACTAGATAATCTTGTCTGACTTAACCCAGTTCCTTGGTTTTATCTGAAAAACAAAAAATGTTCTGCCCAGTTCATGAATCCCAAAAGACCAGGAATAAATAGACTCTGCTGTAAATACATGAGCTTTTTAAATTGTATAGGCGTTCGAATACAGGATGCAAACTTCCTGCGGAAACAGGAGAGGAGAGGAATGTGGCCCCAAGATCTAGGGGTATAGAGGTTTTAAAGGGAAAGACGTAAGCAGGGACTTACAAACTTTGGAAAGGGAAATTGACTTTTGAAATGATTGGTCCACTTTAGGCGCCAAGACTACAAACAGTTCTGGCCTGGTCATATGGGCCAGTTTCCTAGCAACTGTATAATTAGTGGGCAGAATGCAGTAAGGCTGGTTCTTCTCCTCAGGGCATTACCGGATATATCTTCACCTAGCTAGCCTTTAAAACAATACCCACTGGTTTTTAAGTCTTTGGTCTCTTACAACAATAACAACAACAACAAAAAACCCCAACTTGATGTTTGTAGTCAGCAGCTCTGTCCTCCAACTCAAGAACAGGATTTAATTCCCTTAAGTTCCTGTTGGGTAACTAACACTAATGTCAGAATTCTAACTGAAGGCTATCTAAATTGAAGAAAAGAGAAGTTACTAATTTTTGATCCCAGCTTTGATTGATGTTAACTATGCTAGTTATTGGTTTAGTGGTTTCACATTTCTTAACTGATTTAATCCCATAGCATACCTTCATGGCAGGCATTGTTGTTTCTGTCTAAATAGGTAAGGAAACCAAGGATTGGTAATTTTCCCTAAATTCACTTAGCTGTTAAATGACAGAATTGAGATTCAAACCAAGGCAGTTTTTCAAAACCAGATTTTATTTGTTTGTTTCTGTTTTAAGACAAGGTTTCTCTGTAGCCTTGGCTGTCCTGGAACTCACTTTGTAGACCAGGCTGTCCTCAAACTCACAGAGATCCACCTGCCTCTGCTTCCTGAGTGCTGGGATTACAGGCATGTGCCACCACTGCCTGGGCAGACATAATTTTTAATTGTATTTTTAACTGACAAGTAACAACTTTATACACTTATGTGGTACATTGTGAAGTTTTGATACATTTTTATGTAAAATGCTTAATTTGAGCTTAAACAGTGATTCATAGATGATCTTGGCTGCCTTTATTTGAAGAAAACAGTTGTGGTTTTTAAAGAGGACATAACACTGGATATGCTCCTACAAACCTGGCTAGCCTGGCCTTTCTGGTTAAAATTTATTTATATGTAATATATATGTGTATTAAAATTATATATATTGGTATATATGTATATATTATATACATTTCTAACACACATATCTGTGTATATGTGTGTGTTAGAAATTTCTTGCTTAAAAAGAGTAATTTAGAAGCTCTTTTATAGTTTAAAAAAGCAGACACGGCCAGGTAGTAGTGGTGCACGCCTTTAATCCCAACACTTGGGAGGCAGAGGCTGGTGGAGAGGCGGGTGGATCTCTAAATTCGAGGCTAGCCTGGTCCACAGATAAGTTCCAGGGTGGCCAGAGAAACTGCCTGAGCCCTCCAGCAGAGTCGAACAGTACCTGAGTGGGTAGTGAGGATTTAAAATAATTAACACAAATCACACTATACATGAGATCAGCTGGAGAGAGCTGTCAGTATGACTGAAGCAGTGTGGGTTTATTCCGGGGTTCCTTTTTTATAGGCAAAGCAAAAACAAGTCACCTCAGTACACAAAGAAAAGGTTCGAGGAAACACCTAACTCCTTTCCAAAAACTACTTCCCTATGGTGGATATGGTCCAAGGTCACACAGATAAGCTTTAAGCAACTTGGCGAAACTTCCTCTTTACTCTGTCTCAAGGTGAAGGCCAAGGTGAAAACATAACAAAGCAGCTCTCCACAAGAACCCCTATTTCAAAAAACTGAAAATAAAAAATAGAGCCGGAACTCCCAACCCAGGACCTTCAGCTACACACTTACTAGTCCTGGCAATCTCTGAGGCTTATTTTACTTCATTTAAAAATTTTAACTTCAGCTCTTTCAGCACTGTGCTAATGTAAAGCAAGATCTTTCAGCTTTACACTGTTGGTAATTTGGGGCTAACCAATCCTTATTTCAAATCTACATCTCTTTCTGTGTATGTTCATTTACTTCTGTGTGTGGTTGCATGTGTGTGCATGCAGGCATGCCACAGTGCACGACGTCAGACAGCAACTTGGAGAGGCCTGTTCTCTCCTTCCACTGTGTGATCCCCTATTTTGGGCTCCAGACTCAAGATGTCAGTCTTGGTGGCAAGCGCTTTTACCCACTAAGCTATCTCTCGGGTCCTTGGCTGAATAATTCCTTGCACTGGGGGCTTTCCTGCATATGGTAATATGTTTAGCTGTATTTCTGGCTTCATTCACTAGATATTAGAAGCACCCTCCCCCACTAGCTGTAACAGCTAACAGACTCTGAGATATTGCCTGGGATGTGGGACAATATCGCCCATAGTTTGGGCATCACTGCTGCAGAGCAGGATGTACCATTTAAGATTCTGAGTGATTCCCTGAGAGGTTAGGAAATGAAATAACTTTACAATCACTACCAAAGATGAGTTCCATTGATTCAGGGAAACCTCATACCTCCTATGTTTTCCTAAGCCTTGGTCAGACTCTTATAAGTGATCTAGTAAAACAATAGTGAATTCCAAGTACTCTTTTTATTTAGGCCTGGGAGGACCGTCTGATTCGGATACAAGAAACAATCGATGAGTGGTTAAAAGTGCAAGCTCAATGGCTGTACTTGGAGCCCATCTTTTGTTCTGAGGATATCATGCAGCAGATGCCGGAGGAAGGACGTCAGTTTCAGACAGTAGACAGGCACTGGAGGGATATCATGAAGTTTTGTGCTAAAGACCCAAAGGTGAAGTGTGTGTTTTCTCTGTTATGATAAGTGAACCTTATGTGGGGTTTAAAGAAAACATTTGACTTTTATTCTAATTATTAAAATAGAACTTACTCATTGTGTACAAACTGGAAAGATAATAAAATGTATGTTCAAAGTATCCAAATAATTTTACTTTTAACATAAAAATGCTACTTGCAACTCATGTGTGAGTGTGTGTGCATAGTGCAACTACTTTAGATGGATGGGATCATCCACTATATACAACTATATACAACTATATACAACCGCTGCAGGAAGCAAACAGATACATAAAAGAGTGAGAAGAGGGTGCAGGCTGCGTGACAGGACAAGTTTTCCATGTTTGCTTGGAAGTGTTAATTAGGGAAAGAATCTACTCTCAATTGGTCTCAATTTCTGTGTGTCTCTCCTATGAAGAGTACACTATCCCTGATAGGCTATGGTCAGATAGAAAGGGAGGAGGGCCTCCCCTATCAGTGGACTAGGGGAGGGGCATAGGGGGAGCAGAGGGAGGGAGGGTGGGACTGGGAAGAGATGAGGTAGGAGGCTACAGCCGGGATACAAAGTGAATAAATTGTAATAAATAAATAAATTAATTAATTAATTAAAAAGAATGCATCGTACGTGATCCTAATGTTGAAAACAGTGTTTTTCCACACATTTAGCATACGCTAAATGCATCTGCTTTTTAAATGTATTCAACCTGAGAAATGACTTTTTCCAGTGCTGAGAGGAAAACTAAGTAAGTACTAGATTTATCGAGAGTGAATTACAGAAACAAGAGTTTCAAGGATTTTTAACTTACTGACTTTAGGAGCTTGTTAGTACATGGTTTCTTGTAGGTTAGAGATCAGAATTTGTGTGTGCATGTTATTGCTTACTTCTGCCATCATATGGTAAAAAGCAGCTAGAACTAATATATAACGAGTGGGTGTGTTCCTACCATAATAAAAGTTTGTTTATAGATACTGACAACATTGTTACTTATGTTATGAAATAGCATTATCTTCATTTTATCATTACATTTATTTAATTAAATTAATTTAAAATTTTAATGAATTTTGAGACAAGGCCTCTAGCCCAAGTTCTTCAAATTCTCTGTGTGGCTGAGAATGACATTGAACTTCTGACCCCCCCCCCCCTCCGAATCTGCTTGTGGGATTCTGGGCTGGTTGTGTGCCAGCACCTCCGGTTATGCATGGTTCTGGCAGTAGGACTCTCAGCTGCATACTAGCTGAGCAAATGCGCTGCCAACTGAGCTACACAACTAACCCCCTGTAAATTTTTTAACCTTCTGGAAGTATAAAAACATTCCTTAGTTTGAGGATCATTCAAAAACCAGCAGCTGGCTAGATTTGGACAGTGAGATATACATTGCCAAAACCTGCTATAAATTAAGTTTAAAATTTATAGTTATAAGAGCTAAAATTAAATCACACACCCTTCTAACAAGACTCTTCCCATGTCATTTAAAAACATAGGCACTACTGAGACTGCTCAGGGGTTAGGAGAACTTTTCTCTTTTCTAGCGAGCTCAAGTTGAGTTCCCAGCAGCGCCCAACTGCCTGTAACTCCAGCTCCAGGGACATGTGACACCTTCGTCCTCACAAGGCACCACACTTCCATGCACAAACCCAAGCTCAGACATGCCTTCTTTCACACACACAATAAAAAATAAAAAATTAAGTCATTACAAGAACATAATAAGTTCTTGACATATGACACAATAGTTATAACATTATTTGTAACTAATGTTCTTGGATGTGCAATCTATATGATTTACTGAATTTTAATATTTTTTACATTATAAAAGAAATTTCAAAGCTGGATATGGTACCTACAATCCCAGCATTTTGGGGGGGGGGTGCCTAGAGCAAGAATAGAATTATAAATTCATGGCCAGCCTGGACTATATAGTGAGACCTGTCTAAAAAAGGGGGAGGAAGGGAATATTTCGCTACTAATTTCATAAAGTTTTAAAAATGTTAACAGTTTGACATATGTATATTAATGCTTATGTCTTGTAAAAAGCACATAAGTATGTCTCATATGAATCTATGTCTTTTAGGTTCTTGCTGCTACTTCTTTAACAGGCTTATTGGAAAAGCTACTGAATTGCAATGACCTTTTGGAAAAAATAATGAAAGGACTGAATGCATATCTTGAAAAAAAGCGACTTTTCTTCCCTCGGTATGGTAGACAGTCAACTGTGCTGTAATTTAAAACCTCTTCTGTGGGTGATGAACTGCCACTAACGTTATCCTATTATCATATTTTTTCCAGCTTTTTCTTTTTATCTAATGATGAAATGTTAGAGATTTTGTCAGAGACCAAAGATCCACTCAGAGTTCAGCCACACTTAAAAAAGTGCTTTGAGGGCATTGCTAAATTGGAGTTCCTGCCTAATCTGGATATTAAAGCCATGTACAGCTCTGAAGGTGAGCGAGTGGAGCTGATTGCACTCATTTCCACATCTGCAGCGAGGGGTGCTGTAGAGAAATGGCTCATTCAGGTCGAAGATCTAATGCTCAGAAGTATTCATGACGTGATTGCTGCATCCAGGCTGGTATGTATCCTAGGATTAAATAAGATATATTCTGCAAATGCCGCTCTTTTATTTGTTTGGTGAACATTATTTTTTCTCTATTTCTAACATCATTAGTAAGAATTGACAAGAATAATATACATAATAACCGTACAACAGTATAGGTATGTTATAAGAGGATAATGTAGTATCAAGAAGAATAATAGAGGTATCAATTTAGAATGGGAGAGGGTCCAGTAATAGGCTCATAGCAGAAGTTAGCCTGAGACTGAGATATAAAAGATAAATAGAAAATACCTAGATAAAACAAGTATTTACTCTGGGGGAATGCCTGGAGGAGAAGTAGGTTTGTAGAGGCTTGTGAAAGAATTTTATTTCCTAAATGTCAGAATTGCCATGTTGCCAGACATGGGAGCTCACAGCTACAATCTCAGCACCGGAGAGGCTGAAGGTGGACTGCCCAGAGTTTGACGGCAATCTGGGTTACACAGTTCCAGCTCAGCCTGGGCTACAAAGTGAGATTCTGTCTTAAAACAAAACCAAAAATAAGGACCATAGAAATGGTTAAGCAGGTAAAGGTTCTTGAAGCCAAGCCTGACAGTTTGAGCCCTAAAATCCATATGAGGGATCCACTGACTGCCACAAGTTGTCTTTGGATTGTCACCTGTGCGCTTTGGCATATATACCTGTCCCGACAACATATAAGCAAACAAAAACTTTTTAAAAAGCTCAGCAAATAAAACTTTGCAGTGTTACTTATGTATTTCTAGTAGGCAAACAGCCATGTGCTTTAATAGTTGCTGATTAGGGTCAGACACTCTCAAGCATGGTGTTCAATAAATTATTTAGTTCATTTGTTGCTTCTGAGGCTTAACTACTTTAAAATTCTAAACGAGATGAACACACATGAGTCACATAATAAATAGAAGGAAATATAGTCCCTGGACACTATATTTTCAAGACAGGGTTTCTCTGTCTAAAAGCTTTGGCTGTCCTGGACTCCCTTTGTAGACCAGACTGGCCTCAGACTCACAGAGGTCTGCCTGCCTCTGCCTCCCAAGGGATTAAAGGTGTGAGTCACCATGCCCAGCATTTTTTTTAAATGTACATTGGTGTTTTGCTTACATGTATGTCTGTGTCAGGGTATTGGATCCCCTGAAACAGGAGTTACAGACAGTTGTGAGCTGCTATATAGGTGCTGGGAATTGAAGCCAGGTCCTCTGGAGGCGCAGCCAGTGCTCCATCTCTCCAGCCCCCAGCCCCTGGATACTTTTATGTACCTCACTTAACGCTAATCAAGTCATTCTAATCTTGAAATATATGCTTTACCTTGTTCTGCCTTTCACACCTCAAAGGAGCAGGTGTGCAGCAGTTTGAGAAGCCTTTGTAGCCTATGTCCTGAGAGTCAGTGCGTGAGTGAAATCCCTTTCCCTTAAAAGTGCCGAGGAAGCTTATCTGTCAGTTATTATTTTAATTACGTGTAGTTTCTCTCTCTGTGTATATATGTGCACATTAGTGCAAGTGCCAGGGAGGCCAGAGACATCACATCCTTCTGGACCTGGAGTCCCTGGACAGCCGTAAGCTGCCAGACACAAGTGCTGCGGACTGAACTCTGGTCCTTTGAAAGAGTAGTGCACGTTCTTAGCCACTGAGCCATCTCTCTAGCCCAGTAGATGTTTGTTCTTTCTTCTTTGTCACTTCAAACTAAAAACACATAAGAAAGCATCAATATTGCCCATGAAGTGTTATTTTCATTGGCATAGAAAATGCCCTGCCCTGGATCTGGCAGTCATTACTTTTCTTTAGAGCTTATATTACTTTGTTATTTCAATTTGTCTATGAGGTTTGGTTTGGTTTGGTTTGGTTTGGTTTGTTTTTTTTTGAGACAGGGTTTCTCTGTGTAGCCTTCGCTGTCTCAGACTCCCTTTGTAGACCAGACTGGCCTTGAACTCACAGTGATCTGCCTGCCTCTGCCCTGAGTGCTGGGATCAAAGGCATGTGTCATACCTGGCAGAAGGAAGCTACTTTTAAACTATTAAATCTTTCCTCCAAAATACATTTAAAGCTTTTGAAACACGAAAGTATTAGTAATAGATGAAAGTGTATTTCAAACTCCAATGTACAGATTGTTCAAATGTATATAATTTAATAAATGTAATTGTATATCCTGGTTATATAAGTTTTTAGAAAAGTTTTGGAGAAGTAACATACACATTCTAATTACTAGCCCAGTTTTAAAATATATTATATGGTCTCTGTCTTAGTTGCTATGAAAAAACAACCTCATGTAAACAACTTAAGGAAGAAAGTGTTTATTTTAGCTCACAATTCAAGGTACAGACAGTTGTGTCAGGGAAGTCAAGATAGCAGGAGCCAGAGCAGCTGGCCACATTGCAGGCCCAACCAGGAAGAAGAAAGCCATGAATGCTTGTTAGCGCTTAGCTTTCTTTCTCCATTTTATACACTCCAGAATCCTCTGCCCAGGGAATAGTCCCACCACGGTTAAGATGGGTCTTCTTGACTCCATTAATACCCCCCATAGTCATGCCCAGAGGCCTGTCTCCCAAGTGACTCTGGAGTCTGTCAAGTCGACAATTAACACTAACCAGCAAGTTTCCTTTTCAATTAAAATTTGATATCAAATTTTATTTGATGTCAAATATAATTTTGAAGTCTAATATATTTGATCTGCTTGCAAGCTTTTGTACATTCATAAATCATATTTAAGCACAAACTCATTTCATAACCTTCACACCTCTTATGCATGACTTTTTAAATGGTTTAATGAAATTTTCATATTTTCCTTATAGTAGAAATATTTGTTGTTCATCAAAAGCTTGACAACTAGCCCAGCAAACGAACTTAAAAACTGCTAAATGTTTACAGCTCTATTTTCTATTGTAACCTTTTCAAGAGAGAAATTCATTTTAATTATTCAGGCTTATCCAGAATCTGCGAGAAAGGACTGGGTGAGAGAGTGGCCTGGCCAGGTTGTTCTCTGTGTTTCTCAGATGTTCTGGACTTCCGAGACACAGGAAGTTATCAGTGGAGGACCAGAGGTAAAGCATTATCTGATTTTAAACAACAGCATTCTTTTTTTTTTTTTATTTCTTTGTTTGCTTGTCTGTTCTTTACAAAGATAATACCCTACTCGATTTTTATATGTAGTGTTAAAATTATATACTTTTTAAAAGCTCTGTTATTTTTACTAATATTACATAAATTCATTCTATAATCCACATATTTCTGAACTAGATTATGAAGTAACATTTATTTCATAATAAATAAATAAATGTGAGTTCTATGCCGTGCATTTGTATATAACATCAGTTAAACTACTGTAACTCTGTAGGGATTAAAGAAGTACTACCAGGAGCTCCAGTATCAACTAAATGATATCGTAGAGCTAGTAAGAGGGAAATTGTCTAAACAGACCAGAATCACGCTGGGAGCCTTGGTTACAATTGACGTCCATGCCAGGGATGTCGTCATGGACATGATTGAAATAGGTAGGTCACTGTTTAATGTAATATAAATATAAAATGTAAACTATTGGGAGCTTCTAAGAGACAAAGAAATGAAGTTTTTCTTAATAGAAATTCTTTTTGAATGATCCTTTCTTTCTTTCTGTTTATTTGTTTGCTTGTTTTTCGAGATAGGATTTCTCTGTGGAGGCTTGGCTGTCATGGAACTCACTCTGTAGACCAGGCTGGCCTGGAACTCACAGAGATCTACCTGCCTCTGCCGCCCAAGTGCTGGGATTAAAGGTGTGTGCCACCACTATCCAGTAAATGATCTTTTCTTTAATTTGAAAACATGAGTTATTTAATATTTGCTGTTATAATAAAAAGATTACTTTTCAAATTATTTTCACTTAATGATTTTATTTCATTCTTTCTAGGTGTCTCACATGATACAGATTTCCAGTGGCTTGCTCAGCTTCGCTATTACTGGGAATATGAGAATGCACGTGTTCGTATCATTAATTGCAACGTAAAATATGCTTATGAGTATCTTGGTAACTCACCTCGACTTGTCATAACTCCTCTAACTGACAGATGTTATAGAACCTTGGTATGCACTTGCATTATTTTGTCCACACATTAAATATTACTTTTTGGTACAGAATTTATTTTCTTGCCCATATTTATTTAATATTAAATGGTCTCATTTGTTTAAAATATTTTTTACAGTTATTTATGTGTGTATGTGTTCTCTTCTCTCTTACCTGTTGGGACCTGCAGATTAAACCCAGGTTCTCAGGCTTGGTGTCAAATACCTTTACCTGCCTTGTCATCTCACTGGCTCCTCATTTATTAACTTCTCTCTAATAATCAAATGCGCTTATCCTTTCCAAACCACAACTTCTTTTATAGAAATTATTTTATTATATATACATATATAGTATATTATATATCGTATCTAGTATGTTTTATATAGAATATGTATAATATGTAACACATGTAAATGTATATATGTATATCCACGCACATTTACATATGTGTACGTGTAGTGATATACATGTATGCATATAAAATGAAATCGTTGTTATTTATACATTCATAATATGTGTTCATGGAATGTGGGCAGGTGGATGCGAATGCTGGTGTGTGCTGCAGCATGAGTCTACACCGCAGAGGCCACTTTCAGGAGCGAGGCTGTTCCAGCCTTTTCCCCTTGGTTTCAGGGCTGACCTCAGGTTGCCATGCTCTGCTACAAACCCCTTTCCTGTTCCTATTGCCACACCCCTAAATAGAGCATTGACTTCTCAGTCCTCCCCTTTTCGTATACAAATGGTTTGAATCTATTGTATACAAGTCACGAGTCACTTCCGTCGTGACTAATCAGAAAAAGAAAGGTGCTGAAGATAAAAGACAAAATCAGATCTTCAGAAAATAGCATCCACTTCTACGGTGGAAAACTAGAGAGGTGACAGGAAGATCAGAGAGAACAGTTCCATTCCAGAACTCCAGATTACTGCTGCTGGCTATGAATGACAGAACTAAAAGTAGGAGGTACTGTAGAGGCCTGGGCTGGGTTGGGAAGACAGAAGTACAGCTACTAAAACCCCACGGCAATGTTTGTTGGCTATAATATAGGACCTCTAGGTAAATCTAAATTTCAAATGATTAAAAATGTAGTCATGTGTCAGTTAAGGATAGAGATGTATTCTGGAAAATATTTTTAGGTGATTATATCTCATGCAAATGCCACAAAATACGCATTTGCAAAACCAGATGTTTCCCAAAACTAGATGGTATGGACAACAGGGTGAGGTTGTATGGCACATGTTATCAACACCATCTATTGTTAACCGAAGCATCATTACATGCTGTATGTTTTATCTGCAGTGTGTGTATGTGTGAGAGAGAGAGAGAGAGAGAGATCTAAATAATGCAAGGGAAACAAGGGAACTGCTAACAAATCATTCATTGTCCATCTGAAATTTAAGTTTCCCTATGCATTATGTTTTTTGCATTATGTATTTTTATTTGCTGCATCTGCCAATCCAATCTTCGAATTGAGGAGGAGCATGAAGAAACAGCAACTCATTAAATGATGAGTAGGTTAGACTATAAAGTTGAGTTCTTTAGTAGTAGATGACACGAGGATTCTTGTGCATGTGATTTATTAGGGAAATAACTCATATACTGCTGAATTTAAACTTTGATTAATGAAAAAGGAGAATGCATATTAACTATAATACAAAGTAGAAAGCAATAATATTGGTAATATAGAGCAGTTCTTTGGGGATTCAGAAAATAGAGAACATACCAAGAGTGAAAGGCACAATCTAGAGCAATCACAGATGATGCATTTGTTTGTCTTCCAAATATGTACCCCAATTGTACCATTTATTTCAGGTTTTACCCTCTTTGTAATTAGCCATGTAGAAGGTGCCTCTATTATCTTCTACTTATATTTCCACATCTACTTTGTGAGGAAAAGTATCCTGAATTAATTTTACTCCCTCAAAGCTGGATTCACTGTTCTTGAAGGGGAATTATGTATATGTGAAGTATTAGACAGCAAGGAGATTTTGGTACATTTTCCTTGCTGTGGAGACCCTTTAAGCTTTCTATTTGTATAGCCATGACATTCTAGGCTGAAAAGTCACTGAACAACGTAATAATTTAGAGCTTCCCTGAAGTTATCGATACAAATGACTTCATTTGGCCAACACCTATCTACTTTGTCTGTTTTTAGCTAATCATAGATTTCTTTTCACACATGCTATTTTTTTTTCAGATAGGTGCTTTTTATTTAAACCTTGGTGGTGCTCCAGAAGGGCCAGCAGGCACAGGGAAAACCGAAACCACCAAGGACCTGGCTAAAGCTCTTGCCGTGCAGTGTGTGGTGTTCAACTGCTCCGACGGCCTGGACTATCTGGCCATGGGGAAGGTAGTCACGTCACGTCACGTTCCTGCACTGTCTAGCCATGGGGAGGGTAGTCACGTCACGTCACGTTCCTGCACTGTCTAGCCATGGGGAGGGTAGTCACGTCACGTCACGTTCCTGCACTATCTAGCCATGGGGAAGGTAGTCACGTCACGTCACGTTACTGCACTATCTGGCCATGGGGAGGGTAGTCACGTCACATCACGTTCCTGCACTATCTGGCCATGGGGAAGGTAGTCACGTCACGTCACGTTCCTGCACTATCTAGCCATGGGGAGGGTAGTCACGTCACATCACGTTCCTGCACTATCTAGCGATGGGAAGGTAGTCACATCACGTTCCTGCACTATCTAGCCATGGGGAAGGTAGTCACGTCACGTTCCTGCACTATCTAGCCATGGGGAAGGTAGTCACGTCACGTCACGTTCCTGCACTATCTAGCAGTGGGGAGGGTAGTCACGTCACATCACGTTCCTGCACTATCTGGCCATGGGGAAGGTAGTCATGTCACGTTACTGCACTATCTAGCCATGGGGAAGGTAGTCACGTCACATCACGTTCCTGCACTATCTAG